CCCGCTTGTGTGCAGATCCAGTCTTCCCTGCTGCTGCCGGTAGAGACGAGGGCGATAGCCGGATCGCGGAGGATGGGGAGGAAAAGTGAGGAGGCTTTCAGCGACGCAGCTGCGAGGGTTCAGATAAAGGTTAGTACGCGAAAGAGATTGACGAATCCGAAAGTGAGCGAGAAAAAGGCTGCTGCTGTTACCGTTGAGTCTGTGCACACTGCCAAGAGTTAGTTTCCATTTGCTAACATTGTTCTGACGCTCAGTGACAAAAGCATCATGATACTTATCATAATGCTTGCCGCCACAGAGTGAACAGGACAATGAAGGGTACTGGACGAGCAACTTCTTCGCCCGGTCAGCAGGGTCAGCGATCGTGTGGATCCAGCGACGATTCTGGTTCTCAGGGTGAGCGTAGACCAAACCCTTAACAACATCAGTGTCGGCACCAGTGACAGGATGAAGCACGCGATGCAGACACGAGCAGCGCAGGAAAGCCGACCGTTTTGTGCTGGTAAGCGGGTAAGTCGCCAGGCGATCGTGAATGAGGACCAGCTCAACAGCAGCAGAGACCCCAGTGATCATGAACTCAATGGCGAGCGGATTCAAAGCCTTCTCACGAGCAAAAACCGAATCCTCCGTGTGTTGCCAGTGAAGAGAGATGAGTTGACCCTTGTTCGTAAGCGGCTGATAAATCACCTCCTTTTTCCGCACCCATTCCACATCAGACTCCTTCTTGAACGATACTTGCAGACGGCAGAAACGCGTTTTGGCGATATAAGTTGTCTTGATCTCCTGGAATTTTGTCGTGGTCACCGCATCTTCTGATAACTCTGTATACCATCCGTGTGTTGTTAGTGCCTTGGCAGCGTCAATGATGCAGGAAATCTCCTTATTCAACATAAAAGGAATCAGCAGAATCGCGACAGAGCGCAGTCCGAAGCCAGCTTCTTTGACCAAGTCGATGACCATTTCATCATCAGAATCATCGTCAATGAAGCCGTCGTCAACAGTTACACCCACGGAAGGTGTGTTAGCCTTATCCTCAGCAGATAGTCCAGAACCACCAGCCTCTGACGACACCGTCTTGTCATTGTCATGGACTGCAGGAGTCTTGTCAACAATGGAGCTATCAGTCTCCATTGGAGCTGGCAAAATGGAGATCGGCCTCGAGCGCTGTCCCTTAGGCAGATTGGGAGCATCAGCCGGATGAGACATTGTGTGATGATGAGTAAAACCAGGCAGCAGGAGAGCGTGCCGAGCACTCTCAATGAATGCACTTGATGCCTGAAGACTGAGCACAGGAACCTTAAATAATTCCTTGAACTTGTCCGGCTCCAGGAGCTCCAGCAGTAGGTGTTGTAATCTCGAGGTTGAAACCTTGGTAGCTTCAATGTTGATAATAGAATAGTAGTTGTTGACAGAAATGTTGTCATTGTTAATAAAACCATGACGCGAGCCAGGAACAGTCGTGAATCTCGAGGGAGCCTGACAATATCCGCGGGGTTCCGCCTTGTAACTGGAGTAACCAATGTCAGCATAAATGACTGGTAATCAAAGCTGAAAGTTAAAGACGGTACACTTTATCCCGACAGATGGCCTAGTAAGGCACGCGAGCGAGGATGTTGACTGTGTTTGACTTGGCAAAAACCATGGCCGCCTGATGGCGGAGAAGGCGGAGAGCATGGTCGAGTACCGTAGCTGTTCCATTGCACATTGGGGATCTTCTAGCATTGCACATTGGGGCTTTCTTTGCTTTCCCTCCTCTGCCACTACCCGTTCCTCTCCCCCATCCTCCTTGTCCTTCCACCTCATTGTAACCCTCTCCCTGTATCCCTCGCCTTGTCTCCCTCACCATGTCTCCCCATTCCTGTCTCCCTTTTCATGTCTTACCGTTTCCCGTCGTCCCCGCGCCCCTCCGCCATCCCCTCAGGTCGGAGCCTGGCAGCATGCCGGGGAGAGTGGGGGGTGGGGGTGGTGAGCTGAGAGCGGCGGGAAGGAGACACATTCTATTTGAACCAGCTGCTCTGACTCAATTACCTATTTCCCCAAATCTGGTGGCAGGGGGGATCTTCGCCCTCATTGCTGGGCGCCGTAAGGCCAGCCGTTGCAATTCATGACAGGTCAGCATGGCAAGGACGAGGGTGGGATGGAAAGGGGACTGCCGGTGGTTGATGGGTTGGAGGGGGCGTCCCTGAAGGAAGATGCAAGGAGGGGAAATGGATGGAGGGGTGCCTCTCATATGCGTTGCGACGGTTCGAAGTACAAACGGCTCTGTGTTTTTCTCCTCCCTCCCCCTCGCCCTCCACCTCTCTCCACCTCTCGAAATCACATCCCTGGTCCATCCGGGTGTCCAAGGAATGCTGAGCACATTGCGCCCGCCTGTGCTTCTTTCTCCTGGACTTCGTGTGCCCAGCGGCTTGTCACTGGAAGTGCTGCAAGATTTCGAGGTGGCAACCTCTGACCGGAAGGAGCGCATGCGGATTAGCAGACTGCAGCACGGGGAAAACCACAGCCGGTGACGCCCGACCGACTGCCTGCTGGTTTTGATTGTGCTGTATCTGCCGCGCTTGGTAGGGGAACAAGAGAAGGGGAGGGCAGGCATGCTTGGCAGCATGATGGTGGACTTATGGTACAAGCACACTCTCGACCAATGGAGCACATGCTAGGGAGGGTTGGACAAACATGAGTAGGTAGGAGTAAGCACTACCAGGGCAAACATGCATAGGGTGGAATCAATCGGCTTCTTAAAACGGAGCAGCGGTGCACAGCCAGGCTTTCGCAGCGACCTACGTCAGGCTTGTGATGATCACTGTGACTTATTGTGAAATGCGGGATGTGAATGTGCTGACGGTTTCTTGGCCAGTGTGATGTGCGTGTGAGAAGAAGGGTTTGTGGTCTACACAATGTGTAGTAAACCTGCCGTGTGCTAGTATGCTTATATGAAGTTTCGCATCTGCATTTGTGGGTATACGGTATGGACTGACCTATGTCAAGCTTGACATAGTCCTAACTGAGAATCATGTACGCACGTGTGTACACCCACGCGTTTGACAGAATGATATTTTCAACGGCTAGGCTGCTCTTTCACCACCGCATGCGTGCTCCAGAGCATTTCTTGCTGTACACCCTCTACTGGTATGTGTTGCTGGTGAATATTCATTGCCTCAATTCCGAGTGCACACTTTTATTCGATAGGAACCTATTTTTTGTTGGGTGGATGTGATTGTTCATTGCGCGGCGCGAGGTGACTGTTTTGTAGATCCCTTTTGCCTACTGCGACGCGGATCAATCATAACGTTCAGATTTGTGCTCGTCTAGCCGACAGATTTCTCTGGCTTCTAGCGTTACTGACACGTGGTTTTATCACTCAATCTGATTTTGCGGACAGAAACAAAATAACGAGCCAGTGAGGAACGAACGGAGGAAAGCATAAGTCGCACTAAATAGGGCGATTCAACCGAATAATAGGGTGCATTGCTCTGCGTCTGGCACTCCTCAGCGGGTTGGCCAATATCTTCGCAGATGTGAATTCCTTGTGTGGATGTGGAAGCTTCAGAGGACGGAGCTGGCCACAGCAGCGAATAGCTTGTAGGCATCTTGACTCCAGTCAACAGTACTGAAACTGAAACGCATGCAGTTTCCGTGGCTGGAAGAAGGTCTGGCTTCACGTGCCTTTTGATAAGTGTACTCGCATGACGCGCCAAATTCGAGAGATCCGGAAAATATTTTGATTTACAAGATTCCTCAGTGGAGCATTCCTATCACGGGGAACCCCCGTGGGATATTGGTAGCAATGATTGCGTTCGTTCCGTACCCTCTCCACACGTCACCCCAGATTGGAGTAGCCCCACAGTCCCAACGTCCTGCCACTGGACTTCCAGCCTCCCGTTGCACAAGCGCGAGCGGGGCTTGGCCTCCAGCCGGGCGGGGTCTCCAGCTGGGTGGGTCTCCCATCGCGCGGCTGGAAGCGCGGCATCCCATGGCACTTCCCCCGATGCCGCCGAGGCGAAACCCTGTCGGTTGGGGGACGAGCCAAGTTCTTGAGCAGTGCATGCACCTGTGTTCCCCTCTCTCACCTCAAAATCTGCAGAAGTGTAGGGTGGCGAGAACTGTGATCATTCATCACGGATGTCATCTGCCATGATCTGCTAGTAGGGTAGCAACATCAGCTGCCTAGAATTCCGATTTCAATACCCCAGCCTCGCCGCCATGTCGCATTCCTCTGAAGCGATTATTTCGCCTTCATCCCAATCCTCGTCGCTCTACATACAGCCCTGGTCCCCAGAGGTGAGTCCAGCGAGGTGGGTGTGAGCCTTCAGCACAGGATACTCTCTAAAGATCCACCCGAATTCTAGCCTGAAAAAAAGGAGTGAATCAAGATTGATTCTTGAAATGCCTTCCTAGTCATGTTGATGTGAATACATTTGTGCGTCAAGACACGCTCACTGTGCGTCAAAACACGCTCACTGTGCGTCAAGACACGCTCACTGTGCGTCAAGACACGCTCAGAATGCCTTGAGCCGGATCAGTGGGCATTGAGTCACGCTCTTTCACTGGATTCCTTCTGAAACGCTTTTGACCCACCTTTTTTCCCATCGGATAGGTCAATCATTGACCATGAGATCCGTTTTTTATCCGTGCTTTCACGCGCAATGCACGAGCAGGAGGACGCCGTTCTGCTGCTCCATGCGCTGCATTATGGGACGAAGCGGTGGAGCGAGCTGAAGAGGAGAGGTCAGCTCAAGAGGAGCAAAAAGTCGTGCTGTAACCGTTACATCTTTCTCAGAAGGTAACCGTGCTTGTCACATTAATTTTCGAATCTCACTGAGCCCGTCAACACGCATCCCTCGCCTGCGCCTTTCGAGCACGCCTGAGCCTTTTTAATACCTGAGCCTTTCTGAGCTTTTCTCCTGTGGCCGTGTCTTGATGTGAGAAAGTTCACTCAGCGCTTTCAGCACGATCTTCTGACAAAGCACCTGGAAGGTGCAGCATTCCCTGGGAACGTTCCCATGGAGGGCCACAATCAGCTATTGCCCTGTCAAGATGGCAAGCAGCAGCAGCAGCAGCAGCAGCAGTCGGATGGCATTGGTTCACCTGCTCTGGCATTCGGAGGGCTGTCGTTTGACGAGTGCAGCATCGTGTTCTTCTCACCCAATGCCACCTGCTGCCACCCACCAGCTCCAGCGGACCCCTCATCTGCAGTCAGCCCCGCCCCTGCTTCCCAAGCCGCCCCCTTCTCTGCTGCTGCTACTGCCTCTTATTTTCCGCTCCCATGTGATGCCTCCTTCCCCGTTGCTGCTGCCTCCAATGCCGCTGCCCTGAGCCTTCCAGTGAAGCGAGCAAGAGAGGACTGCCCCGGGCATGGGGCAGACCAACCGGGGCTGGGTGGAGGTGGGGGTGAGAGCGGGCTGGTGCGCAGAACGAAGCGGCACGCTCAGTCAGTGGCAGAGCAGTTCCAGCAGCAGGGGGCGAGCAGGCGCGTGCAGGACGAGGAAGGAGCCCTTCTGAACGCTTTGCTGCTGGAGGAGCATCGCCAGCTGCACGGAGGAGGAGGGAGCAGGCGAGTGCAATCAGTGCTGTGGCCGCGCGTGGAGTGGGAGAGCGCCCTTCCAGACGATGTGCTGCTGGGGGTCAGCAGCCTCGATGCGGTGGGGCTCACCACACCGCATGCACAAATGACAGCGCCGCTGCCCACCCCACTCGCTGCTGCACTGCCTGCTTCCGTCCCTGGGGGGATGCGCAGCAGCACTGGAGGGACGCTCGTTGTGAATAGTCGCGCCCAACCAGAGCTGGACACGTGCAGAGTGGCGCATGATAATATCGCTCTTTTTCTCGACACGCCCGTGGATCCCCTGTTGCTGCCTGGACACGCCCCCACCGTCCCCCAGTTACCACACTGGCAGCCCTTCCGTGTGCCCTGGGCGGGTGGGCCCCAGGGACGGCTGCTGGCAGGCACTGGTGGTAGTGGGGTAGCGCTGGCAGAGTGGGCGTTGGAGCAGGGAGGGAGCAGAGAGGGAGGTGCTCAAGCGCACGGGGATCATGGGCACCAACAGCCGCTGCCACACCCCCTGTCACAGCCTCGGCCGCACCCCCTGCCACAGCCTCGGCCGCACCCCCTGCCACAGCCTCGGCCGCACCCCCTGCCACAGCCTCGGCCACACCCCCTGCCACAGCCTCTGCCACAGCCACAGTCCCCGTCACAGCCACTGTCACAGCCACTGTTCCAGGCGTCTCTGCTGTCAGCCCTTTCTCAGCAGCCAGGGGCCCCCGGCTTCACCGGTGCACTGTCCACGCCCGCGAACCCAAGGGAATCGCACACGCAAGCTCCCATGCAGCCCCGCCGTGCCTTGCTGCAGCAGCCCTTGACTGCCCCCGCCGGTGCTTTACCAGCTCTCAAGAACCTGGCGTTACCTCGGCCTGACATGGCCAGTGCTCTGGATGGTGGTGGAGCCGCATTACATGCCACAGTCGGCCATGGGCTCAACTCGGATGTGCACGCCTTGGCTAACTTTCTTGCGCTTGGAGGAACAACCACCGAGTTGAATTTTGGAATTAACTGGAATGGGGCCACGGTTGACCAAATCAAGGAAATGCATGAATCCTTTGATTCCCGGGGTACTGCCATGCTTGATAGTGGGATGACTCCATCCCAAGATATACTTATTCAGAGTCTTTGGGGTCTTTCTGATCAGGCTTATGAGATTTCACCGAGCTTATTAGAAGCCATGCTGCTCTGTTCATCGCACACAATTGTGGAGCTCAAATGAGAATTTGTAGGATTGTGTGTCTTGTGTGTCTTTTGTTCCTTTTGTGTGTCTATATTTTCAAAACCTCGATTTTAGCCTCCCTCCAAATGTTCGACCATTTGGATTGGTCGTTACAATTTTACACGCCCTCAGATTGGTCAGAGCAGTGGAGATGGGGGGGAGGATTTGCTGCTCAAAACCTGGAAGTGTATGACCATGAACCTATCCGCTCGAGTCGCTCATCGTCCGTCAGACTCTGACGGCTCCGATCTAACGGCACTCTTGAATCCTTATCCATGGCATCAATGCTCCTCAGCTCCGCGTTTCACCGCGTCGGCTCTCACTCGCTCTGCTTCATGAATTTCTCGTCCTTATCTGGATCCATAATAGCCGTTTCAGCACGATGTGAAGGACCGCAATCACGACAGCCATTACATCCCGTTCGTCATAACCACGCGTGACCAAGTACTGGCAACAGGATTGCGTCAGCTCCGATGTGTCAATCAGGACGCGCCCCGCTCGCGCTAGCTTTCACGGAGTCGGATGAATTAACTCTTGAGGCGAAGGTGTGCAGCCCGCTGCTCCGCATGGGTGCAGAGCGGACGGACTCTCGTGAAAGTTGACGTTCATTCCGAGTCGGACCCGGCCGTCATCGCCAATCGTTGTGGGAGTCGAGTCGAAGTTCTCATCGAGTCCGTTCATCGCCGCGGTCGGGTGAGTGTGCCGTGTGACGTGGGAAGGATAGAAGCCACCGCGGATGTAGCGCCTGCGGCTCTACACAAGGGTTTAAAAGGTCACCGCTGCGCCTCGGAACAACCCCCGTTTTGGCTCAGTGGTCTAGCGGGACGTTATAGCAACAGCACTAGGGTTCATACTACCACCCTTATCATCGCCCTTGAGAGTTCTGCTTCCGCTCCGTTCTTGCTGCTCAATCTCATGCTCGATTCTGAACTTGCCGGGCCGGCGCGTATCCACTTGAGAGCCCTCCTGTCAGGAGATATCGGGTACAAGGATGAGCTGCCGTGTGGTGCACGGCAACGGCCTCGTGGCAGACATGAGATTCGCGTCTCGTGTGACCCTGTATTGATCGTCCGCTCTTACGCTTGCTGGGCTGCCTTTTGATGCGTGCAGACGAGTGCTTCTCTCACCCGAGTTGAGGGTGAGGGGCTTGGGGGGTGGGATGGGATAGGAGATTTGAAATGGAGAGGAATTGGTCGGGGTGGGGTGGGGTGGTGTGTGATAATTTGCGGGAGCCAGTGCTGCTGTGTCCGATGCCACTGCTGCCTTTTGCAAGTTGATCAGGGGAGTGACTTGCCCTGGCCCTGCTGACGTGATAAGGACAAAGCCGCTGTGCATCAGCTCTGCTGCTCCCAGCACAGCAAGCGACCTAGGGAGGGCTGCACTGGCCTTGCCTTGGAACCGCGGCTCCTAGGCCGCACAATGCAGCGCCAACAGTCGCTGGATCGTGGTTGTGTGCAGCATGGGAAGACTTGCCGAGGGCATCCAGCATTGTGTCTGGATGTTGGGTCGGAGAGTGCCCTTCCAGAGGACGTGCTGCTGGGGGTCAGCACCGGGGAGCCTGGCTACTGCGCTGGTGGCATGAGCGACACTGCCACTGCCACTGCCACTGCCACTGCCACTTCCCTCGCAAGTCTCTGCTCTGGCTGGCCGTTCCCAGGGGGAATGAGCAGGTGCGTTTGCAGGACCTTGGCTGACATGTAGTCCCCTCACATACAGGCACCGGTTCAGCCCAATGCATCACCATGCCACAGGGCTGCCTGCTGCTCTCTTGCTCCCCACACGCCCGTGTCTCCCCTCTGCCTGCCTGGGCCTGCGTCCACCTGTCATGCACCGTGGCCCTGTGTGCCGCTGCGGCCTGCCTGCCCTTGGTGCATCGCTCTGGGGAGGAATGGAAGCACTGTGGAAGGGGTTAGTACAGTTTACAAATAGTACTCGCGCCCGGGAAACAAACGATACAGTTTACAAATAGTACAGGCTTGCGAGATGCACCAACAATAAGGAAAAAAACCCTGATTTGATCCCGACGGACTCGATTCGATTTGGCGTTTGTTTGTTTTCATCGGCTACATCTCCTGCAAAATTCTACGTAGCCTGAGTTTGCGATACTTGCTTTGAACGTGCACCCTCTTCTTCTGGAGAAGCTCTGCCTGGCGGTTCTTATTTTCCGTCGGGATCTTCCCGCCAGACCTAACGGAAGCTACTCGTTTCTATGCTACTTTGTTTCTTTGTTCCTCCTTTTCTACACGAGTTTATTGGCGAACGTCCCCTTCCAACCTTCCTTTTCCCTCGCCCACCTGCTTTGCTCCTCCACCTGGCTTTATCCCTGCCACGCCCTCGTCCCCCCTCCGTTTCCCCTCCTCCCGATCCCCCGTCCTTCCGCCATCTTTCCAGGGGCGAGCACAGCAGCATGGTGGAGGGAGTCACACGGCGCAGCTGCTGCGGGTGCTGAGAGCAGTGGGGGATAGATGGGAGATCTGAGAGCAGGGGGGGGGGAAAGGAGAGCTGGGAGCAGCAGGGGATAGATGGGGGATCTGAGAGCAGTGAGTTGAAGGAGGGGTTGCTGGGAGCATTGGGGAGCAGGCGCGCTGGAGTCAGATGTACATGACAAGGTGAGATGCGTATTTTGGGACAGAGTGGAGTGTTACCGGGTGGATGAATGGAGTAGGCTGGGATGGCTGGGGTTGGGTTGCGGTCGCAAGGCCAGGAAGCATAATGGGTTGATGGGCACGTAAGCATCTCATGTGACTGTCTCTCATTTCCCCCAATCTGGTTGCAGGGAAAGGAGCGCGTCCACTTAACCATTGTTTGTAGTGAGCTTGTACGAATGTGGTCTGGCAGCTTTTCATGAATGTTTGGATTGTACCGTAATCTCAAATGATTCTGGTATTGTGGGCGACTGGGAATCATTTCTGTGGCCTTCACCGCGTTCTTTGTTCTGTAGTGATTTGTTTTTCAGACTGTGTTGACTGGTATGCTTGTATAGAGTATTTGTTGGGGAAGAAGCTGGAAAGTAGCTGAATGGATGGAGAGTTTCACAGCAAAAAAACAGGGCCAAACTTTCAGCTATAGCACTACTAGACATAGTGCATACTGAAATCACATTTGGCGTTGTACCCACCCAAAGCGTGTATGCTCCCATGGGTTTTGGCAGGAAGGCGACCTTTCACGTGCAGGAAGAGGCAGGCAGACTGCTCCAGTTGGCCGCTACTGACGTGCGGTCCGCTGACCTCAGCGTCCCTCCCTCCTTTCCCCTACTCAACCGCTATAGCACGCCGTACGTACATAAAAATCCTCCTCGGAACATAATCCTCCTCCCCGTACTGTAACATAATCCTCAAGATCGGTTCCGTTCCCAGTCGTGCTCGAGATACGGCATTCCACTGCAGTTGCTTGCTAGGTCAACAATGTCTTTCCCTTCCGTGCAGTGCACCTGGATTGGATGTGCAAGCTTGGGGGGGGCTAGCATCTGCAACCAATGGCTTCGTCTTGGTCCTAGTTTCTACTAGAAACGAAAACAAGAACGTTTCGACAGTTGTCACGGCTGGCAGGTCTTCACGTGCCTTGGTGTCACACAACGGTGGCTCCTTCTCCGGGCTTTCCATACACTCATACACACGAATGACACGCCGAGTTCCAAGGACCTCGGATGACAGTGTACACTGTACAGTCTACTAATACTGTACTCGTACGATTACTCGTTGTCTCCTAGTATGGAGGGGTTCTGAAAGCAGGGGTGCCGGCCGGGCAGGCTACAACTGCAAGCCTCTGCAATGATTCCTTTCATTCCGTGTCACTCGTTGTCGGTCCCAGTGGCCCACCCTTAGCATCCTCCTCGTTCGCACCCCTTCCACTGTTGTCCTCCCGTCGCACGCCAGTGATGCCGTGCGACTCGAAGCATCGCAGGGTTGCGTCTGGAAGTGCAATAAAGGGGCATGCCTCTGCTGCGGTCAAGACTCGGCCCTGTTGGCAAGCGGCAGATCAATGTCGGCCAATGGTGTAACCCAGCCCACAATCAGGCCTCCTGCATGCGTTTGCTGCTCGTCCGTACTGAACCGCAAAGGCCTTTCTGCCCCTGGGGCCAGGTTTGAACAAGGTCGATAGATGCAAGATTATCCTGGTCTCACCTTTCTTTCAAGCGACGGTTTATTTCTGAAGTTAATTTCTTGCTAGATTATCCTGGGCTCTAGTGCCAGCTGACCCGTTTTGCACACCGTGATGGTACCGCTTTCAAGAACCGCAGCTTGGCCGCCATGCCGCATTCATCTGAAGCCACTGACTCGCCGCCGGTCTCGCAACCCTCGTCGCCGCTCAGCATGCAGCCATGGTCGCGAGAGGTGGGTCGCAAAAAGAGCGTTTGAAGGATTTTTTCAGCCCTCTATCTTTGATTGTATTCCAACAATACATACCCTATACAACTCGAAATAGGGTTCAGCATTCAATCTTGCGAATTTCATCCTTGTTATGCCGCTTGCAATCTTTGAGCCGCGGCCTTTACACTCAGTGCTCATGATGCAAGCAACGCCGCTGCCATTCCCTCCGCACTCTGACGGCAGGAGGACGCGGTTCTGCTGCGCCACGCGCTGCAGTGCGGCACAAAGCAGTGGGGGGAGCTGGAGAGGAGCGGCCAGCTCAAGAGGAGCAACAAGTCGTGCTGTAACCGTTACATCTTCCTCCGAAGGTAACCCCGTGTGCCGCGTGCATGATTTCTTAAGCTCAGGTTTCTTGATACGCGTGAGCATTTCTAAAACACCTCAGCCTTTCTGCTCTGTGGCCGCGTGTTGACGGCAGGAAGTTCACTCAGCACTTTCGCGAGAGCTTCCTGAGAAATCACCTGGGAGGTGCCGCATTCCTCCAGGACATTTTACTGGACGGAAACAGTCCGCCGTTGTTCTGTCGGGATTTCCAGCAGCAGCAGCAGCAGCAGCAGCAGCAGCAGTCCGCCGTGGGTTCAGCTGCCCTCGCATTCGGAGGGCTGTCGTGTGACGAGTGCACGGCCGTCTTCTTCGCCCCCAATGCACGCTGCTGCCACCAGCCACCCTCACTGAACCTCTCTTCTCTCGCCAGCCCTCCTCCTCCTTCCCAAGCCGCCTGCGTCTCTGCTACTGCGGCTGCTTCTATTACCGAGTTTCCAGTATCCCATGAAGCTTCCCCCGTTGCTGCTGCCTCCAATGCTGCTGCTCTGCGTCGGTCGTTGAAGCGTCCAAGAGACGACTGCCCCAAGCTGGGGGCAACACAGCAACCGCTGCTCCGTGGACGTGAGAGCTGGTTGCTGCGAGGCGGGGTGCTGCGAGATGGGGTGGTGTGTAGCATGGAGCGCCTGCATCAGTCAGTGGCAGAGCAGTTCCAGCAGCAGGGGGCGAGCAGCCGCATGCAGCAAGCAGCGGACGAATCCCTTCTGGAGGCTCTGCTGCAGGAGGAGCATCGCCAGCAGCAGCAGGGAGGAGCGAGGAGCAGGGCGCAGCGGGTGTTGTGGCCGGGCGTTGGGTCGGAGAGTGCCCTTCCAGACGACGTGCTGCTGGGGTGCAGCAGCGACGAACCTGCCTTCATTCAGCGCTCTGCTCTGTCGGCTCCTCCGCCCACCCAGCCACACGCAGCGCTGCCAGCGCCAATGCCGCCTCAGCTCTCTGCTCTGCCTGCCTCCGCTCCTTGCATTGGGGATTTCGCAGTGCACGGGGAGGAATGGCTCCGCGTTGGGTCGGAGAGTGCCCTGCCAGACAACGTGCTGCTGGGTCTCTGCTGTGAGGACCCTGTCTCTGCGCAACCTGCTGCTCTCTCTGCTCCTGTGTCTGCTCCTGCGCCCGCCCAGCCACTCGCAGCACCGATGCCCTTGCCGCTCGCTGGTCTGCTTGGTCCCGCTTCTGGCAGCGCGAGCAGGTGCCTTACAGCGATGCTTGCCGGGAGTACGTGTGGCACACAGGAGCAAGAATACCTGGATGCATGCATTGACGTGCTCAGCAACATAAACAACACTGACAAGCACAGTGACAGGGACAGCAGTGCTCTCTTTCTCGACACGCCCATGGCTCACGTGCTGCTGGGTGGGAGTGCCCTCGCCGTGCCCTTGCCCACTGGACCTCACGCCGAGGGGCCTGCCGTCCCACGTGCTGCTGGGACAGCCCCACGTGCTGCTGGGACAGCTTTGCCAGAGTGGGCGGAGGAGCAGGGAGGGACCGGGGAAGGAGGTGCTGAGAGGCACAGGCAGCAGCAGTGTCTCGCCCAGGAGGGCATGCTTGCACAGTGGAAGCCTTGTCAGTACCTCGAGCTTGAGCGCATGCTCTCGCTGCCACCGCACCAGCCACAGCTGCATTCACAGCCACCGCCACAGATACTCCCAAAGCCACTCCCAAAGCCACTCCCAAAGCCACGCCCAAAGCCACTCTTACCGTTACCGACACACGCGCCTTGGCTGTCTGTGCCTTGTCAACATCCACGGGCTCCATTGAACGCGCACTCAACCCCAAGAGGGTTGCACATAAAAGTTCCCATACGGCCTCGCCCGGCCATGCTGCAGCAGCCCTTCTCCACTGATGGTGCTGTACCGTCTCTCTGCAGCCCCTTACTCCCTCCGTTGCCTGACATGACCGTTACATGAGGAGGCGGCGGCATGCCCTGAATGCCACAGCTGGTCATGGGCTCAGCTTGGGTGTGCGCTGCTCGACTCGACTAACCTGTCCAAGGAAGAACGGGCATGATTTGACGCTAACGGGGATGGGGTAATGATTGACTGTAAGAATGGTGCCCATGAGCACTTGGACGTCACATACAGCTGTTCTTCCCCATGGGATGCCTCCAGGCTTCATCCCAACATATATGCGTGTTCGTTCGTCATTCTAAGATTGCACACCATTCTGTCTTGACACTGAGTCGCTGACTTGAGGCTAATACTAGCATAGTTTGTAAATTCTGACTTAGTCAACACCATCATTCTCTCTATTCCTACTAAGTTAGTTTCTAAGACCTTTGTATTACGCATGCAACCAAACTAGACGGGGTAAATTAATACAAGTAATATGGATTTGCACGTCCTTGTGATTCTCTCATAAAGTCTGTTTGACGAATATTTGTAGTGAGCCCGGCATCTGGACCGTCAACTTATCATAAAGGTTATGTGGGTGGGAAGTATATTTGTTTACGAGGTAGGGAACTGTTCTTTGTAGTGGAAACGCTGTACACGTTGTTTTGCGGATTCTTAGGGCGTGTGCACTAGCGTTCGAAAATGTTCGAACTCAGGTGGTAGCCTGAATTCGTACATCTCGCAAATCACCTTCGCGAGGACTTATTGAATATGTTAACACTTTCGACTTTGACGTGTTCGAATTCTGAGTTCCCAGCCACATTCGAGCAGCACTCCGGAGCGCGGCTCGGGCTCCAACTTGTGCGACGTTGCGACGTTCACGACGTGCTGACGTGTCCGATTTAACCCAATCGGATTTCTTGCGATTATAACAATACTGTACAAGATTTACGCGCGCGACGACTTGTCCGAACCTTGAAGTGTGTTACTTTTGAGTGCCCAAGCAATTTTTACAAGACTTCGTGCCAAAAGCCACGAGTTCGAATCCCGGGTGTTCGAATAACAACAATGACGGCAGTTCGATTTCAAAGTTCGATTTTCACAATATCGAGCTCTAGTGCACACGCCCTTAGGACGCGGTGCGGAACGCCTCAGCACGCCCTGGTACACCGGGTTTCGAAACCCGGTGCACCGGGGTGTGCCGAGGCATTCCGGAGAACGTCTTTACCTTTACCTTTACATATGAGTACAGTTTTCGTTTGGGGAAGACGCTGGAGGGTTTGTGCTGTTCGCAGCAAGAACGAGAAAGGTTTGGCCCAAGTTGACGTGGTATGGTACAGTAGTGTACAGTCTGCCGAGAAATAAATGATCCAACCGCACGCGAGCACCCACATGCATTTGGCCAGAAAGGTGACCTTCACGCTCGGGAAGATCAAGGCAGATGCCTCCACTTGGCTTGGCTGCTGCTCCTATGAGTCGATGACCAACGGCAGACCTACCAGAGTCTTTCACAACACTCGCCTATTCCCTAACTGCTATTGCACGCCATAATTCCCAAGATAGTATCGGCTCCCCCTTCAGTCTTGCTAGGGATGCAGCAGATGCCTGCCAGGTCAACGATGTCTTCCCCTTCCGCTGGTGTGCTCGATTGGATGTGCGAGCTGGCCGGGAGGCTGGTAGGAGCTGGCAGCTGCAGCCAGCGGCGTCGTTTGTCTCTATCCACTATCCGATTCGAACGAAACGCAAACGTCTGGACAGTTTTCACCGCTGGCCGGTGTTCACGTGCCTCGTATCACACGACGGAACCCCCCCATTCCACACTCGTGTGACAGGCCGATTTCGAGAGGACCATCAGATGCTAGTTTACTTTATATAATTAAATATCAGGTCGCCACCTCCTATTGGAGGGTTTATGTCCGGAAATGTCGGTCATCAGGCCACAACTAAGCCAGTGCAATGATTGCCGGTACCCCTTCTCGTCAGCCCACTTGACCACACTTCACCGCGGCATCCTCGCGCGCACATCGCATCGCATCGCATCGCATCGCATCACCACCTTCCAGCTGCAGTCCGTCGCACACACCTCCTCCCACGCGAGTCGCCAGCTGCGCGCGTTTGACGAAGAAATGCGGCGAGAAAGAATCCCTCGCATGACAAGACGAGACGAAGCCCTGTCGCGCGAGGCGGCATCATCAAGAGGCGCACAATCAGAGCCCGGGCATGAACGCCACACTGTGGCAATCAGAGCCTGGGACTGATCCCCTGCCCACAATCACGCCTGTGCTTTGTGCATGGGTCGGTGATGTCATTCCATTCCCTCTTGAAGAGGGATAGAGTCTTGCGAGACTCAAAGTCATGCTTTCGTCAGTTAGCTCTCTTGTCTGAAAACCAGCACTACTGCTGCTATCAAGAACAGCAGCTCGACCGCTAATGCTACCGTTGCGCTGTGGGCTGGGCTGGTGTTAAGGGCATCCGCTGCGCCTAAAGCACCCTCGTTTTGGCTCAGCGAAGCGTTACAACCGTTGAACCGCCATGCCGCATTCCGCTGAAGCCGTTGACTCGCCGGCCTCGCAATCGCATTCCTCCTCGCCCGGCATGCAGCCATGGTCGCCAGAGGTGGGTCGCCAGAGGTGGGTTGCCATGGCGAGGTGAATTTCAGAATTCGCTGGATTCTAGGCTTGAAATGAGATTCAGAACTCATTTTTGCATTTCCTTCCCTGGTATGTCTGATGGGTTACACTACCTTCGCGCATCAGGACACGCTAGTGTGCCTTGAGCCGCGGAGTTTCACACCCCAATGCCGCTCATCATGGGAATGCCGCACTCACTCTGTCTTTCCCTCCGTTCCGCACTGAGTGGGCAGGAGGACGCGGTTCTACTGCGCCACGCGCTGCAGTGCGGCACGAAGCAGTGGGGAGAGCTGGGAAGGAGCGGTCAGCTCAAGAGGAGCAACAAGTCGTGCTGTAACCGTTACATCTTCCTCCGAAGGTAACCCCTGCTTCATGCTACATTCTCGATTTTTCGAGATTCAGACGTCTTGATGATACGCCTGGGCATCTAACACGCCTCAGCCTTGCTTATCGCCTCTTCTCTCTTGTGGCCGTGTGTTGCCGGCAGGAAGTTCACAGACCACTTTCGCCAAAACTTCCTGCGAAAGCACCTGGAGGCTGCATTCCCCCAGCATATTCCATTGGACGGACACAGCCAGCCATTGCTCTGTCAGGATTTCAAGCAGCAGCATTTGGAGGGTGTGGGTTCAGCTGCTCTCGTGTTCGGGGGCCTGTCGTATGACGAGTGCATGATGGCGTTCCTCGCCCCCAATGCTCGCTGCTCCCTCCCGACAGCCTCACCTAACCTCTCATCTCTCACCAGCCCTCCTCCTGCTTCCCACGCTCCTTATCCTGCTTCCCATTCCGCCACTTTCTCTGCTGCTGCTGCTGCGTCTACCACCACCGAGTTTCCAATCTCCCATGATACCTTCCCCGTTGCTGCTGCCTCTAACGCCACTGCTCTGCGCCGTGCTGTGAAGCGAGCAAGGGACGACTGCCCTGGGCTGGGCGCACACCACCCGCTGCTGGGTGGAGGTGAGAGCTTGTTGCTGGGAGGCCGTGAGACTGGGTTGGTGCGAAGCTGGTTGGTGCAAGGGGGGGTGGTGCGAGAGCGGGTGGTGCCAGGGGGGGTAGTGCGAGGCGGGGTGCTGTGTAGCTCGCTGCTCTGTCCGGCTCCGCTCCCTGCACTGGGGATACCGCAGAGCAGCAGGTGGAGTGGCCGCGGGTTGGGTCGGAGAGTGCCCTTCCAGACGACGTGCTGCTGAGATCCTGCTGCGAGGACCCTGCCTCTGCGCAACGTGCTGCTCTGTCCGCTCCTCCCCCTCCACAACCACACACAGTGCTGCCAGCGCCAATGCTCCCCCAACTCGCCGCTCTGCAGGGCTCCGCTCCCTGCTTTCGTAATTCCACCGCTTTCCGTGGGGCCTTTGCACCCTGCATTGAGGGCTTTCCAGTTCAGCCAGTGGAGTGGCCGCGTGTTGGGTCAGAGAGCGCCCTTCCAGACGACGTGTTGCTGGGATTGTGCTGCGAGAGCCCTGCCTCCGCGCAACGTGCGGCTCTGTCCGCCCCTCCGCCCACCCAGCCACCTCCAGCGCTGCCAGCCCCAATGCCGCACCAACTCGTTGCTCTCCCTGGCCCCCTTCCGGGCAGCACGAGCAGGGATACGTGCATGCATGCGTTAACGTGCTCGGTGGCATTGACAACACAGACAACAACGGCACGGGCAGCAACGGCACGGGCAGCAACGGCACGGGCAGCAACGGCACGGGCAGCAACGGCACGGGCAGCAACGGCACGGGCAGCAACGGCACGGGCAGCAACGGCACGGGCAGCAACGGCACGGGCAGCAACGGCACGGGCAGCAACGGCACGGGCAGCAACGGCACGGGCAGCAACGGCACGGGCAGCAACGGCACGGGCAGCAACGGCACGGGCAGCAACGGCACGGGCAGCAACGGCACGGGCAGCAACGGCACGGGCAGCAACGGCACGGGCAGCAACGGCACGGGCAGCAACGGCACGGGCAGCAACGGCACGGGCAGCAACGGCACGGGCAGCAACGGCACGGGCAGCAACGGCACGGGCAGCAACGGCACGGGCAGCAACGGCACGGGCAGCAACGGCACGGGCAGCAACGGCACGGGCAACGGCACGGGCAGCAACGGCACGGGCAGCAACGGCACGGGCAGCAACGGCACGGGCAGCAACGGCACGGGCAGCAACGGCAAGGACAGCAACGGCACGGGCAGCAACGGCACGGGCAGCAACGGCACGGGCAGCAACGGCACGGGCAGCAACGGCACGGGCAGCAACGGCACGGGCAGCAACGGCACAGGCAGCAACGGCACGGGCAGCAACGGCAAGGACAAGCACAGTGACAAGGACAGCGATGCTCTCTATCTTGACACGCCTGTGGCTCACGTGCTGCTGGGTGGAAACCTTCTCACCGTGCCTCTTGCGAGTGGACCTGAGGTTGAGGGGCCTGCTGCCCCACGTGCTGCAGCCCCTGGTGCTGCTGGGGCAACCCTGCCAGAATGGGAAGTGGAGCAGGGAGGGACCGGGGAAGGAGGTGCTGAGCGGCACAGGCAGCAGCAGTATCCCACCCAGGAGGGCATGCTTGCGCAATGGAAGCCTTGTCAGGTCCTTGAGCTTGAGCGCATGCTCTCCCTGCCACCGCACCAGCCACAGCTGCATTCACAGCCGCCGCCACAGCTACTCCCAAAGCCACTCCCACAGCTGCCGTTACAAGTGCCTTGGCAGGCAGTGCCTTGTCAACGTCCAAGGGCTCCTGCCGCCACCAGTGCACTGAACGTGCCCTCAAACCCAATAGGGTCGCACATGCAAGCTCCCATACAGCCACGCCCGGCCATGCTGCAGCAGCCCCTCCCCACTGGTGGTGCTCCACCGTCTCTCTGCAGCCCCTTACTCCCTCCGTTGCCTGACATGACCGTTACATGAGGAGGCGGCGGCATGCCCTGAATGCCACAGCTGGTCATGGGCTCAGCTTGGGTGTGCGCTGCTCGACTCGACTAACCTGTCCAAGGAAGAACGGACTTGATACTAATGGGGATGGGGTAATTTATTGTCCATACTAAGAATGGTGTGCAGTGCATGAACGTTTTGACTTCACATGCAACCGTTCTTCCTCATGGGATGCCGCAGGGCTTCATCCCAACATATACACATTTGTTCACTCATCATTCTGACATTGCACTGAGCTTTGCAAAAGCCAGTCTCTCTATGTTTATGTCGGATGGTGGCCGAATTTCTGGGTTCGGCGATTTTACACGCCCACCTCGCTCTGTCACTCTTCTCGAAGGCCATGCTGATCACCCCGCTGCTCCTTCACAGGCGGCTGGCTGTATGCCATGTACGGCAAACCTAGAAGCATGGCCGCAAACCTAGCTGCTCAGTCGCACACACACCGTCCGTCATGCTCTTAGGGTTCCATCCGTCCCGCGTACGGCGATGGCGTGGTCACGTTTCTTCCAACACGTGAGACAGACGGTACTCGCAGCTGACTTGCCGCTCTGATCCAACGGCTCGCCTTACTACCCACGACGTCACTGTTCGCAACTCCGCGTTTCACGGCGACGGATCGCGCTCGCTCTGCGTCACCACATCCTTATCCATATGTAGAATCGAAATACCGGTTGCGCGACGAAGGACCGCAATGACGGCGGCTTTGACCCCGGCGTTCTTCACACCCGCGCAACCTTCGCTGCCCGCAGCAGCCGCGCCGCACATCTGCCGAGTCGCATGTGTCAAACTTGGGCCATTCGTGTCGCAATGATTGCGTCATGTGGGTGAAGACAACTATTTCGCGAACGTTACCGTCAATCTCGACTTTTATGCGATTCCGGTATGTCTGGGTGGGTCTGCGATCGGAAGGATAGGAGCCACGTGGAATGAGCGTCGCGGGGGGGGATGAGCATCGGGGGGGGGGGATGAACGTCTCATGGAGGGATGAGCGTCGCGGGGGGGGATGAGCGTCAGGGGGGGGGGGGGGGGGGGGGGGGGATGAACGTCTCATGGAGGGATGAGCGTCGCGGGGGGGGGATGAGCGTCGGGTTGGGGGGATGAACGTCTCATGGAGGGATGAGCGTCGGGTGAGGGGTCTGAGGACGGGCTGTGAGGATGAGAGAGCGATTGGCTTCCATCACGGGTGAGCGGTCACCCGGGAGGCAGAGGCTGCATCAGTGGCCATGCATCTTCTGAGTCGTCTCTAAGTCGGGAGGCAGAGGCTGCATCAGTGGCCATGCATCTTCTGAGTCGTCTCTAAGTCGGGAGGCAGAGGCTGCATCAGTGGCCATGCATCTTCTGAGACGTCTCTAGGCAGAGGCTGCTTCAGTGGCCATGCATCTTCTGAGACGTCTTTAAGTCGGGAGGCAGAGGCTGCTTCAGTGGCCATGCATCTTCTGAGACGTCTCTAAGTCGGGAGGCAGAGGCTGCTTCAGTGCCCATGCAACTCCGCCCGCCGTCCCCCACCCACTGCCTCCCCTCCTCCGCCAAAGCTTTCTGCACCCCTCTCTCTTGCTCCGTCCTTTCCTTCGCCGTGGGAGTCCCTCGCCTGCTCCGTCCTTTCTTTGCATGGCACAGGTGAGCATGGCACAGGTGAGCATGGCACAGGTGAGCATGGCACAGGTGAGCATGGCACAGGTGAGTCAAACTAAAGAGGAGCACGACAGCGTGGCGGAGCAGGTCATGTGGCACAGCTGCTGCGGGTGCTTGGAGGATTGGATGGGAGAAAGAGCCAGGAGCAGCGGAAAGAGAAGGGTGAGATGCGGGGGAGAGAAGTGCGAGAAGGGTGGGGGGGAAGTAGGGAAAGCTCGGAGTAACGGGGAGCTGAGAACAACAGGAAATAAGGGGGACCTGTGAGCAACGGACGGTAGGAGGAGCAGTTGGGGAGCAGCGGGGGGGAAATGGGAGAGGTGAGAGCAGCGATGGAAAAGGGGCAGGTGGGAGCAGCGGGGCTGGGGCAAGAGGGGGGCGCTGGGAACTGCGAGGAGGAGATGCTTCGGAGCCAGATGCTGTTGACACGCTGAGGGCGGTTGGCGTGGCGTGGGACGGGATAGGAGTAATATGGACTGGAATGGGGATGGATGGGGTGGGATGGAATCAGTCGGGACAGCGTAGATTGAGCTGGGGTTGGGTTGGGAGGGATGTGAAGGTTAGGACTAAGAGCGTGTTCCTACGGCCTCATATCAGGAAACCTCGTATCAAGAATGCTGTTTTTGCCTGGTAAAACTAGCGAGAGGTTTTGGGTTTCGGGGAATTTTCAGTGTGAGCCTGATACGAGGTTATCTTGATATGGGGATAGGAACACGCTCTAAGGATTGATGGTCGCATAAGCATCTCTTTGTCACTCTCTCTTTCATTTCACTGAATCTGGTTGCAGGGAAAGGAGCAAGTCCACTTGACCAATATAGGAAGTGAGCTCTCAGGCATATGGTCAGTCAACTCAGCTTATCATAAGGGTTATGGTACTGGTATAGTTGATGACTGGGAAGTATATTTGTGGCCTACATAGCTTACTGTGTTCTGTAGTGGACTATGGAGCTGTTGTACATTGACTGGTATACGGTATATGGAGTAAAATTTTGTGGAGAGAATGTGGACAGTTTATAGAATGTTTATTGTTCATAGCAAGAACTAGGACCATAGGTACGAAAAAAAATAAAACAAAAATATGTACGAATTTAGCACAACTAGACGGAGTCCATACTAGTTTTTTTTTTTTTTTTTTTAATAGTGAAAGCTTATACCAGGAGTGTACAAGCAAAACACTTCAGTCGTAACTGACATACTAAAATTAATGATTGCTTCTTTCCCACGCGAGTACACCCACACACACGCTTCTACGTGGAAAGGAAACCTTGGCTGCTGCTGACTAACGCCTGACCACGCGGTCAATACTAGTGCCAAGAGCAACACTTGCCTAGGCCCTATGTACAGGTGTACTGCTATTGCACGCCGCAATCCTGAAGATAGTAGTTTATTCTCGGTCCTGCTCGAGATACGTCATTCAGCAGCAGTTGCTTGCCAGGTCAACGATGCCTTGCCCTTCCGTCCACCTGGAAGGATGTGCGATCTGGGGGGCCAATGGAGCTGGCAGCTGCAGCCAGCGGCTTCGTTTTGGTGTGTTAAAGCCGCGGTGCAGATATCCAGGCTCCAGTTCAAACTATTATAGTTTGAAAGCCGCGTAACCCAGTATACACAGGAAAGCGAGCAGGGAGAGGTTTCTGCCAGCGGGGGAAGGGCGTGCGGAAAAGTCCTTCGCAGTATGATGTGTGTGGGGGGGAAACGGGGGAGGGCTCGGGGAAAAGCTCCGCTCAACGAGTTGAGGGGGAGCGCATGCAGCAAACTTGAAAATTCAAACTTGAACTCAAAACAACTCAAACTTGGCAAACTTTCACGCTTGAACTAGGTTCTTACTAACTTGAAGTGCGTTTTCCGAGCTACGCAGAGCCATTTCCGCTAAGATTTCTCGCGTTTCATGGTCTATTGATGTGCTCACGAATATCTGCGCAATTTCGTACCTCGTAAACACCTTTTTGTCGTATTCGAAGCGCATTGCGCTCGTTTTCCTCCGTTGCCGTCCTTATTCCTCTCCCGCCCCTCCATTCCTCACGTATCTGCGGTAGCAAAGGCGCAACGGTAGCGACAGGCAGGAATGGGTGCGACGGTGGCGAGCAGCGGGGCGACGATAGCTAGATATCGGTGGTCGCATATGAGCAGCGGGGCGACGATAGCGAGCGGTGCGGCGACGATAGCGAGCAGCGGGGCGACGATATGAGCAGCGGGGTGACGATAGCGAGCAGCAGGGCGACGATAGCGAGCACCAGGGCGACGATAGCGAGCACAAGGGCGACGATAGTGAGCATCAAGGCGACGATAGCGACAACCAGGGCGACGATAGCGAGCACCAGGGCGACGATAGCAAGCACCAGGGTGACGATAGCGAGCAGCGGGGCGAAGCATCTGTGCGACGGTGGCGAAGCATCTCGCGTCCCACCATGTCACCTCCCGGAATAATCCAATTTCCCCCTCTCCAATGCCTCCCCCTTTCCGATCCCTTGCCCGGTCCTCAGCATCAACTTCTCTTGGGCAGTGCCCTCCCTGTTTTCCTCTCCCTTTCCCCCTGTCCTCCTCTCCCTTTCCCCCTGTCCTCCTCTCCCTTTCCCCCTGTCCTCCTCTCCCTTTCCCCCTGTCCTCCTCTCCCTTTCCCCCTGTCCTCCTCTCCCTTTCCCCCTGTCCTCCTCTCCCTTTCCCCCTGTCCTCTTCTCCCTTTCCCCCTGTCCTCCTCTCCATTTCCCCCTGTCCTCCTCTCCATTTCCCCCTGACCTCCTCTCCCTTTCCCCCTGTCCTCCTCTCCCTTTCCCCCAGTCCTCCTCTCCATTTCCCCCTGTCCTTCTCTCCCTTTCCCCTTGTCCTTCCCTCCCACCTTTCCTCCCCCTCTCTCACATCCCTTCCCTTTCCTACTGTCCTCTCCCACCATTCACGCTTCTCTCAGCCATCCCTTTCCCCCCTCCCCTGCCCCTCGCCTTCCCCCACTACCGTCCCTTCCCTTTCCACTACGTTCTCTCGTCCAGCCCAGCCGACAGTACCAGCTTTGCTTGGCCACTGAAGGCTGTCTATCATATCTCAGTTTCCATGCTCTCTTCAATTTCCCTACCTAACATTCTTCAATAATGCGCAACGTTTCCTTCCCATTTTCCCCTCCCCCCTCCTCCCTGTAAATGGACAGCTGCACCAATAGTGGATCGTAGTGTAAAGATCGGCTCTCCTTGGATTATGCCATGTTGTTTGCTTGCGATCCTTTGCATGATAAGGATTCCAATATGACATTCCAAGTCTTGCAGGTCTGTACATTTGATGTTCTTTCTCCCCATTATAAATAATACTCTTGCAAATGGATGGATAAATAAACCAAAATAAACCTTGTAAGTGAAATATGTATTTTGCAAAGCTTTTATGAAACATAAGGTTTATCGTTTTGCTATGTGGAGGTGTTATTGGCAGAACAATCAGCGAAAGGGAGTATGGGGGTGTTGATGTGGTCCCATTTCCCGTTTCGTGTGTGTTCCCCCCTTCCCTTCCCCCCACCCCTTCCCCCCCACTTTTCCTTTCGAGGTTCGCGACATTCGCCTTGGATGTTTTCATCGCAACACAACTTACACACTCGCTAGCCAATTGACTACCAGTACGGAACAAGACAAAACCCGGCTTGTCACTGTTCCTAAGATAGTTGCACCGCGGCTTTAACTCGTCCACGTACTCGTGTACTCTCTTTCTTCTACTGTCCGATTCGAAACGAAATCGCGAACACGACAGTTTTCACCGCTGCCAGTTGTTCACGTCACGTGCCTCGTATCACGCGATGAACGCCTCCCATTCCACACTCATGTGACAGGCCGAAACTCGAGAGGGACATATCACATGCTAGTGTACTTTATACGATTTATTACGTTGCCACCTCCTATTGGAGGGTTCAAGTGCGGGAATGCTGGCCATCAGTCACAACTCGACGAGAGCAATGATTGCTGGTACCCCTTCTCGTCACTCCACTTGGCCCACACTTCACCGCTTCCTCGCCGCGCGCGCATCGTCCCAGCTGCGGCCCCGTCGCGCACCTCCCCACGGGAGTCGCCGGCCGCGCGCGTTTGAAGTAGGAATGCGGCAAAGAAAGCATCTCTCGGATGTCAAGACGAACCCCTGTCGAGGCGGCTCTTCAAGCCTCGGAGGGCCACAGCTGGGGGCTGAAGCCCCGGCCCACTATCAAGCCTGTGGGCCTTGTGCATGGGTCTCTGCTCGACGGTGACGTCATTCCGTTTTCTCTTGAAAGAGGGATACTATCGACTTGCAAGACTCGAAGTTATATGCTTTTCGCCAGTCAACTCTGTTGCCTAAAAATCTGCACTACAACCGCTATCAACAACCGCAGCTTAGCCGACATGCCGCATTCCTCTGAAGCCGTTGACCCGCCGGCCTCCCAATCCTCGTCTCCCGGCATGCAGCCATGGTCGCGAGAGGTGGGTTGCGAGAGGTGGGTTGCGAGAGGTGCGTCCAGAGAAGAATTTCAAGATCCGCAGGAGTGGGATTCAATTCTTAATTTTGCAACTCCTTCATTGTTATGCGGAGGGAGTACCTTTGCGCGTCAGGACACGTTCAGTGTGCCTGGAGCCGCGCACTGTCACACTCAATGCTCATGATCGCAACGCCGTACTCACGCTGCCATTGCCTCCCGCACTGGGTGGGCAGGAGGACGCGGTGCTGCTGCGCCACGCGCTGCAGTGCGGCACGAAGCAGTGGGGCGAGCTGGGGAGGAGCGGTCAGCTCAAGAGGAGCAACAAGTCGTGCTGTAACCGTTACATCTTCCTCCGAAGGTAACCCGCACCGCACGGCACGTACATTCATGTGTCTTGATACCGCTGAGGATTCCTAACACGCCTCAGTCTTTCTTCGCACTTCTCTTCTCATGTGTTGATGGCAGGAAGTTCACTCACCGCTTTCGCCAGAACTTCCTGCGAACGCACCTGGAAATTGGAGACAGTCAGCCGCTGCTCTGTCAGGATTTCAAGCAGCAGCAGCAGCAGCAGCAGCAGCAGCAGCAGCAGCAGCAGCAGCGTGCAAAGGGCATGGGTTCGGCTGCCCTGGCGTTCGGGGGCCTGTCGTTGGACGAGTGCATGACGGTGTTCTTCTCCCCCAATGCACCCTGCTGCCACCCACCTGCCCCACCCAACCTCTCACCTTTTGCCACCCCTCCTCCTGCTTCCCAGGCTCCACGTTTTTCTTCCCAAGCCGCCACCTTCTCTGCTGCTGCTGCTGCTGCTGCGTCTACCATCACCGAGTTCCCATTCGCCCATGATGCCTTCCCCGTTGCTGCTGCCTCCAACTCCGCTGCTCTGCGTCGTCCGTTGAAGCGACCAAGGGGCGACTGGCCCGGCCTGGGGACCGACCAGCCATTGCTCGGTGAAGCGAGAGCCCGTTGGTGCCACGCGTGGTGGTGCGAGGTGGGGTGGAGCGAGGTGGGTTGGTGCGAGGGGAGGCGGTGTGTAGCACGGAGTGGCGGCGTCAGTCAGTGGCAGAGCAGTTCCAACAGCAGGGGGAGAGCAGGCGCGTGCAGCAGCAGGGGGAGAGCAAGCGCGTGCAGGACGAGGAAGCAGCCCTTCTGGATGCTCTGCTGCAGGAGGAGCATCGCCAGCAGCAGCAGGGAGGAGTGGCGAGCAGGGCGCAGCGAATGTTGTGGCCGCGCGTTGAGTCGGAGAGTGCCCTTCCAGACGACGTGCTGCTGGGGTGCAGCAGCGACGAACCTGCCTTCATCCAGCGCTCCTCTCTTTCGGCTCCTCCGCCCACCCAGCCACACACAGCGCTGCCAGCGCCGAAGCTGCCCCAGCTCGCTGCTCTGCCTGGTTCCGCTGCCTGCACTGGGAATTCCATTTTTTGCATTGGGGATCGTGCAGAGGAGGCAGTGGAGTGGCCGCGCGTTGGGTCGGAGAGTGCCCTTCCAGACGATGTGCTGCTGGGACTGTGCTGCGAGGGCTCTGGTTTCACGCACTGCTCTTCTCTCGCAGCTCCTCCACCCACCCAGCCACATGCAGCGCTGCCAGCGCCGATGCCCTCCCAAGTGGCTGCTCTGCGTGGCCCCGCTCCCCGGGACGTGAGCAGCTGCATTACAGCGACTGGGAGCACGTGTGGCACACAGGAACAGGAATACCTGGACGCATGCGTTAACGTGCCCAGTAGTGGAAACAACACCGACAGCAACGGCAACAACGGCGACGATGCTCCCTTTCTCGACACGCCCCTGGCTCACATGCTGCTGGGTGGGCGTGCCCTTCCTGTGCCCTTGAATTGTGCGCCTCAGCAACAGGCGCTGGCAGCACTTGGTGCTGCTGGGACAGGCCCTGATGCTGCTGGGACAGGTCCCGGTGCTGCTGGGACAGGCCCTGGTGCTGCTGGGACAGCACTGCCAGAGTGGGTGATGGTGGAGCAGGGAGGGGTCGGGGAGGGAGGTGGTCAGCTGCAGAGGCAGCAGCACTTTCTCACTCCGGAGGCCACATTTGCACAGTGGAAGGGTTCTCAGCACCTAGAGCTTGAGCGCATGTTCTTGCTGCCACCACACCAGCCACAGCGCCAGTCTCTCCCACAGCCACCCCCAAAGGCACTGCCACAGACGCCTTTGCTGTCAGCCCCTTCTCAGCGTCCAATGGCGCATGGCGCCACCAGTGCACTGAACACGCCCTCGAACCCAAGGGGTTCGCACATGCAAGCTCTTATACAGCCACGCCCGGCCATGCTGCAGCAGCCCTTCTCCTCTGGTGCTTTACTACCAGCTCTCTGCCCACCCCATGCTACCTCCTAGGCCCGGCATGGCTGTTACTTTGGGAGGTGATGGTTCTGCTCTAAATCCTATGGGCTCAGCTAATCTGTGCTCGGCTCAACTAATCTGTTTAAGGAACAACTGACGAGACTAACGAGGAGGATGGGGTTATGATTGACCATAAGGCTGCGCTCCATGAAACCCTTGGCTTGACATACTGCTGTTCTCCTGCGTGGATGCCTCCAGCCTTCATCCAAACACACATACACAGAATGATACGGGCATCATTCTCACCGAGCGTAGATACACTGAACTTTGCAAAAGGTTATTCTGCCTTGTTTACGGGACTATAGTTGCCAAGTGAAGTTCATATGAAAGCGTGTTTAGTTTGTGCCTTTTAGTTCAGCTTGATATCTCCTCTATGTAACTATCCACGTTATAGTCATCCCTTGATAGTCGCTTCGGGGGATGCAGATTCGCCACCCCCCTCTGTGATGAACCGGGGAGGAGGGGCAGCCCAACAAACCTAGAGAACTACGATCGCTGCCGTTCAGCAAATCACAAACGGACAACATTCGCGCACCGTCCGTCAGGCCCTTGCGGCTCGATCATTCCAGTGTACGGCGACCGCTTACGCACGGTGCCTCCTCCGACCCGTGGAGCAGGCGACACCGCAGCTCGCTTACCGCTCTGATCTAACGCCACTTTATAACGATGGCGTCACTGTTCGCAGCTCCGCACTTCGCTGCATCGGTTCTCGCGCACTCCGCAACACAATACAATACAATACCTGTTGCGCTTCGAAGAGCCGCACACACAATACTCGTCGGGACACAACACAATACCCGTTGCGCTTCGAAGAACCGCAGTGACGACGACCGTTACAATCTGGCGTTCTTCACTCGCACCACCCACGTGGCCGTCACTCCCACGTGGCCGTCACACCCACGTGGCCGTCACACCCACGTCGCCGTCACACCCACGTTCCCGTCACATACACGTGACCTTCACACCCACGCGACCTTCGCTGCCCGCAGCAGGCTTGCTTAAGCTTGCCGAGTCTCATGAGTCAAACTTGGACTTCAAAATGGTCGGACCATTCGTGTCGCAGTGAATGCGCGCATGGGTGCAACAAACTTTCACGAACGTTGCCGCCAATATCGGCTCCGATGCAATTCCGGTATGTTTGGGTGGGTCTGCGGAGCCACGGATGAGCGTCGCGTGGGGGGATGAGCGTCGCGTGGGGGGATGAGCGTCGCGTGGGGGGATGCGCCTTTTCCCCACCCACTGTCTCCCTTCTTCCGCCCAAAATATCCGTTCCTCCCCTCCTGCTGTCCATTGCTTCCCCTCGGCAGTCTCTTTCCTTGCCCCGTCTTTGCTTTGCATTCCTTCGTCTCTCCTCTTCTAGTCCTCCCTCCCTGCAATTTTTAACGGATTCTCAAGTGTGATTCCTCTCTGTCCTCCTCCTCCCTCTCCTCCCCTCCTGGGTCCTCCCCTCTCCCTGTTCCCCCATCCCTGCCCCCGCCGTCCCCTCACCCCTCCGCCTTCCGGTTAGGCCAGAGCACGGAAGCACGTGGGAGGGAATGCGTACAGCACGCACGTGGGAGGGGATGCGTGCGGTACAGCTGTTGCGAGCGGTGCAGCTGCTGCAGGCGAGGAAATGGGGGAGGAGAAGCGGCGGGAGAGGTGGAGGTGGAGCGGCGCAGGAGGAGAGGAGTTGTGAGAAGGTGAATGAGAACCACCCAGCCGCCGCACTCCATGAGATGTGGATGGCAGGCATTGGGGTCACCCATGGGGTGAATTGGGGAGAATGGGCTGGGATAGGCTGGTTGGATTGGAATGGAAATGCATTGGAGAGTGGAGGGGGAGGGGGGAGGAAGGAGGAAGGAGGGGCAGTGTTGATTTGAAAAGGACTGGGCTCTATGTTCCGAAGCAGGCTTCAGGGGAAAGGCGTGGAGTCAGTGGTGGGCGCCGTGAGGCGAGCCGCTGCTGTCCGTGGCAGGTGAGGTGAGCACGGCACGCACGAGGGAGGTGGGGTGTTGCTGGCAGGCAATGGCAAGGGGTGGGTTCTGCAGGCACGCATTGGGTGGGAGAGGAAAGGTTTGGGGTTTAGGGTGGTGGAGGGGCCATGAGTGAAGCGTGGGATGGAGGCGACGTGGAGTGAAAAGTGGGGCTGTTGGGGGGGGGGCTGTGTTCCAGGTGCATCAGCAGCAGGTGACGAATGGATCGTTCTTGCGTCCTCCACGGCATGCCTTCTCCTCACTGTTGGACCTCCATCTCTCTCCATTCCCAACCCCACCTAACTGCCGTCTCATCTGCCTCGTGCCACCGTCACCTCTGTGACCCGCGTCACCGTGGCCGGTATGTGTGTGGCCGGCATCTGTGTGGCCGGCATCTGTGTGGCCGGCATCTGTGTGGCCGGCATCTGTGTGGCCAGCGGTGCTGCGCTTTGCTTCCTTCCTACCCGGAAACCCCTATCCCCTTCACGGGAGTTGGGGGGACGGACATGAGGCAAAGACGTGCCGAGGGGTCATGTGGTAAGGGTGTGTGTAGGAAGTGACAAGGGTGTGGGAGGTCATGTGGCAAAAGTGTGAGAGTCTTATAAGAGTAGCTGAGAGACCACCTCTGATGGAGAAGGAAGGATGTACCGGTAGGTGTTACGGAAACACGCGCAATTCTGGATTCAACTTGATGAGGCAGGGGAAAGGTTCTGTTATTTTCTAACAAGTCCGAGCATGCCGGGGACCTGGGGCACAAGTCGACTAGTACATAATAATAAAAGAGTGCAGTTCAAGCTGCCGCAGTCAGCAGCTAGAGAGAGAAAGAGATGTAAGTCATTGTGTTACTCTGCATAATCTGGACTTTAAGTTGCCGTCTGTAAGATGACGAGGGTGGTCGACGGATATCGAGAACGTAGCTTGTGTTGCAGGAATGGGTGATTATAACGTGTTCTTCACTGCAGACTCTAATTTGCTTTGGCTTTTCCGCACCCCCCAGCGCAGAGAGGAGTGCTGCTGTGCACGTATCAACGTTCCGCGCGGCTACAGTTGCAAATCACGTGGTCGCAATCGCTCGTGATGATGGTCCGTTTTCAAGGTCAAGGCAACGGCGCGGATGATTGGCTGGCTGGACGACCTTACCTCATCAAAATCCAGCAAGGCTGGAGGAGTGATTCGCATCGCATGGAAGAAAAGATCAACGGTTTCCAAACGAAATGCTTGGCTTTTGGTTGGGTTGGGGTTGGTGGGGTGCTTTGCCCTCGAGGTGACAGGTCAGCCTAGCCGCACTGCGTTGGAGAGAAATGTCCAACAGAAGTATCAGGCCGTGGTTGGCTGGGGGGAGGACCAAGGTGAACGGGGGCCCCAGGTGGTTGGGGGAGGCCCACCATACTGTACTAATTCTTTCTGACCAAATATTACAATTTGGCAGACGGCGTTTTTCCTTTAGCTATGTAGCATTTTAAGAACTCATCATCACATCTGCAGTGGACCGAGCAGAACGCAGCCCGCACCGTCATCATTGCTTAGTCCATCCTCTTGGGCTGGGAGATTGGGATTGTGTAAATGAAGGATTCCTTCAGCGATCTGCCAGGGGACTTCCTCCACATGTGTCGATGTGTGGCGGAACGCACACGGCATGGCGAGAAGGCCGACGTCACGTGCTGTGCTCCGCAAGGACCACGGAGGCGAGTCCGCGCGACGGCAGGATACTTCCACGATTCGCATCGGAGCACTGATGATGGCAGACAATCATACAGCATTCTTCCCTCTTCTCTTTCTCAAACCTCGTTCTCCTATTGACTTTGACACCTCCTTTGCCAGCTATCTTGCCGCCCCTCCATTCCTCCTCCTTCATAACATGTTGCTCATGCTGTTGTGGCGCGGAGCTGGTGGCCGATTTTGTATCGCAAATGGGTGCCTTGCGTTGGTCTACTCTAGTAGTAGCACCGCGCGGCATTCCCCAGCTGAGCATCATATGGTGGTCGAAACCGATCAAGGACACATCAAAACGACGACAACATTCACCAGCGGCAATTTGGACCATCACAGGCCGCCAACCATGTTCGTGTATTCAAGAGACGGCGAGAGTCCTTAACTGCCAGCGATATTCAGTGATTCATGAAACCCTAGAGGCCTTCGAATTTCAAAGCTCGGCGTCTGCTCTTAGACATTCTCTTGCACTGCTTGTTATCGGGTAGCTGAGGTCGCCGTCATGCCGCATTCCTCGCCGGAAACGGCGACCAGTTCGCCGCCGTCGCAATCGTCGTCGCTCGCCATGAAGCCCTGGTCCCCCGGGGTAGGCGCCTCCCGTCAGCCCCCCATCCCCCCCTCTAGCTGTAGTCTTCTCTTGAACACCTGCTGAGTCTTGAACTAAGCATCTGGAAGCGGCGCTGCGCCCTCGTTAGTAGACCATCCGAAGTGCGCTAGATTGGACCCGGTGATACCGGCAGACTGATCCTGCTTGCTCGGATGTTCACACGAAGCGCCGCATTGTTGGATTCTGGTTCTTGCACCGGGTGCAGAAATACTATGCTCAATCAGCTGTATCACTAATATTCCTGACATCAGTCGTTTCCGTGCCTCCGCGTCTTATGATGGCAGGAGGACGCCGTTCTGTTGCAACATGCGCTGCAGTGCGGCACGAAGCAGTGGGGAGAGCTGGAGAGGAGCGGTCAGCTCAAGAGGAACAACAAGTCGTGCTGTAACCGTTACATCTTCCTCAGAAGGTAACCCTCTTACCCCAAACTGTTGCTGAGATTTTCGTTTCAGACGTACGGGTTCATTCTGAGCTCTTCTCTTGGAACCGTGTCTTGGTCGCAGAAAGTTTGTTCAACGATTTCAACAGAACCTCCTGAGAAGGCACCTGGGAGGCGTCGCGCGCACTCTACGCGTTGATATGGACGGCCACAGTCACTGTCAAGAGCAGCAGCAGCAGCAGCGGTGGCAGCACGGCGAGGGTTCACCTGAGTCGCAATCGTCAGCTCATTCTTTCGGCGGGCTGTCGTATGAAGAATGCAGGAGCGTGTTCCTCTCACCCAATGCCTGTTCAACTCGCCCAACCGACCCTCATCTGCCATCTCTCTGGATCCCTCCTACCGCCTCCCACACTGCCGTCCTCACTGCCGCTGCCGCTGCTCTCCCCAATACCGCTGCAGTGACCAACGCAGCGACATACGCCAGTTCAGCTGCGCTCAGCCTGCCCATGAAGAGAGCACGCGAGGAGTGCAGCGCTCTCACGACCCACCAGCCCCTCCTGTGGAATGCATCCTGGGATGCGCTTGGGCTGCCTCGTCGCGTGGCGCGACGGCCTCTAACCCTGGAGGAGCTTCTTCACCTGCGTGGTGAGAGGTGCCGGCAGCAGCAAGCCCTGTGGCCGGCCGTGGGGTCGCAGAGAGCCTGGTTTGCCCATTTGCTGTCGGAGGAGCGTCGCCAGCAGCAAGGGGAGACGAGTGCAGTTCAGCGGGCGTTGTGGCCGCGCGTTGAGTCGGAGAGTGCCCTTCCAGACGACGTGCTGCTGGGGTGCAGCAGCGACGAACCTGCCTTCATCCAGCGCTCCTCTCTTTCGGCTCCTCCGCCCTCCCAGCCACGTGCAGTGCTGCCATCGCCAATCCCCCCCCAGCTCGCTGCTCTGCCTGGCTCCGCTCCCTGCACTGGGGATTTCGACCCCTGTTATGGGGAGTTGGCTCCGTGCTTTGGAAATGCGCCCTCTGCTGCCGTGCGTGCTGCTGTGCAGCAGCAGACCCAGTCCGTTGACTCGTGCAGCCACGTGCACGTGGATGGCAACAGCGACTTGCACGCGCATGACAACAGCTACGAGCACAACAGCAGGAGCGACGTGCACGCGCACGACAGCAGCAACCACGACGTCCCAGTGCATGACAACAGCAATGTGCTTTACGGCAGGAGCGAAAGCCTCTTTCTCGACGTGCCCGTCTCCCACCTGTGCCTCGCTGAGCCTGCCCCCAAGGTACCTCCGACAGATGAGAGCCCGGCACCCCCAGGAGGTAGGGTGGCTCTTCCAGAGTGGGCGGTGGAGCAGGGACGGAGCAACGAGGGAGGTGTTCATTCACACAGAGATCATCGGCAGCACCTGAGCAGTCATCACAGGCAACAGCTGATCGGTCAGCAGCAGCAGCATTTGAGTGTTCACCAGCATTGCGTGCAGCTTCCATGTGTTCCCTCCTTGTCATCACACCAACCACCGCTGCCACAGCCAATGATGCGGCCATTGTCCCAAGCGCCTGTGTTGTCAGGCTTTGCCAATAGCAGCCCTCAGCATTCACATGACACACTCTCACACCCAAGGGCCCCACACATACCGGCTCCCATGCCTCCTCCTGCCCTGCCGCACGCACAGCCTCATGTGTTTGACTCGCCGACGCCAACCCCCGTGAAGCCAGCGATTGGTCCCTGTTTCAATGTGGGTGATGCCCTGGGAGGTGATTCTGCTTCCTGGGAGAGCTCCTTCCCTCCCGGCCTCAACTCAAATGTGCCTTCCGCGACTAGTCTGCTTGGGTTCGGAGAAACAGCTGATTTAAAGGTGGAGGAGGGCTGGAGAATGGACATGCCTGGTGGTGGCACTGAGCATGATGAGCCCTACAGCTTTCCAGATACGGCCAAGCTTTCTCGTGGGTTATATCCAACACACTATATACTCCCCCAAGTGTTGCCGTCCCCACATATACTGCCCCAAATTCACCGGGGTAATTCTGGCCAAGCTCCTGACGTTGCACTGGAGTTTGCCAATGCTATGCTGCCCAGCTTTCATCCCGAATACTTGGAGAAAAAATGATGTAAACTTGTCTTATTGCGTATTGTGATGTGTGATTTGTGTATTGGTTTGCACTTGTAGAAGCAAATTTCTACAAAATCAATATTTGCGATTTGCCCGAGACAAACTTTCTCGTTCGGGTTTCTCGAGGTTTGGCAGAAACCCTAGCAGCAGCACCAACATTCACAAAGAGCAGGTCGCAGCCAGACTGCAGGCGTGTTCTCTACCAATGTCCGCCATAGCCTGTCGATCGGCACTTCTGTCGGAGTAGCGAACGACACAGCCGGCGTAGTGTCATGATTTCTCGCCCTCCCTGATCCATGACGTCACTGCTTCGCATCGCCGCGTTCCACGGCATGGGATCTCACTCGCGCTGCGCCATTAAAGCCGTGGTGCGGTGCGAAGCCAAAGTTCCCGATGCAGCTCGGCACGGCAACACTCGATATCCCATTACCAATAGAAATGGCGGCGACGAAGAAGTTATATTTTTTTCGAAACGCGCTAGACGCGGTGTAGCGACGCGCAGCATGCTCGCGTCAGGTTCAGCCGATTCAAATCCATCAGAGCTCGAGGCGACGAGAGACAGCCCGCTGGCCCGCGCGGGTGGCGGCGTATCACCAAACTCGCCATCGCCGTCGCCGTCGCCGTCGCCATCGCGGCCGCCGCCGTTGCAGTCGGAATCGATTCTTTTCATCGGCAAGGTCTGGTGAGGCTGACGTGGCTGTAATGCCCGATGAGTCAAACGCTGTATACCTTGGGAAGAGAACACGCTTAGGCAAGCTGGTTTTCGAGAGTTCTCAAAAGCTGGTTTTTTTTTATTCTCGAAAACCAGTGAGCCTAATGTGGGTGTGGTGCCCGAGGAGTCAAACGCTGAATGCATTGGGAAGAGAACACGGTGAGGTACACGTGAGCAGTCTCTCTTCGCTCATCTCCGCCAGCTTTCCTCCCGCCGTCCTCGTCCGTTCTTCCTCTCCCCCCTTGCCTCCTCCTCTCCTCCTCTTGCCTGATTCTTCTCCGCCGGTTTAGTTGTCATCCTTCCGTTACCCTCCCCCGTTCCCTCGCCTCTCCCCTCCTCCCCGCGTATCTTGCCCCCCCGTTCCCGGCCTTTCTCCCGCTCCCTTTCCGCCTACTCCTCCCCACTCCGCGATGCCCGCAGGCCGGAGCACGGCAGCACGGCGGCGGGGGTGCGCACGGCGCAGCTGCTGCGCGTGCTGGAGGGGGATACCGGCGGAGGTGGGGGCAGCGGGGACGAGCGGCGCGCGAATCGACTTTATTTCATGAGGTGACACGAGCGGAGCGGGTGGGATGGGACGAGGCGGGTGGGATGGGAGGAAGCGGGTGGGATGGGACGAGGCGGGTGGGATGGGAGGAAGCGGGTGGGATGGGACGAGGCGGGTGGGATGGGAGGAAGCGGGTGGGATGGGACGAGGCGGGTGGGATGGGACGAGGCGGGTGGGATGGGACGAGGCGGGTGGGATGGGAGGAAGCGGGTGGGATGGGAGGAAGCGGGTGGGATGGGGGGGCGGAGTTAGGGATTGCAAGAGATCTGCTTTCGGGTTGTTAGCGTTTCTCTCCACCTCTCGGCCCCCACCCCCTACCCCCCCCCTCCCTTCGCCCCTCGCCCCTTGTCCTTGCCATTCTACATCTGCCTCTGCTGCTCTCTCGCACCCCAGTTTCTCTCCTTGTTCTCTCTGTTCCTCAATTCTTTTTATTATTATTCTGGACTTTACTCAAATGAAATCTCTCTCTCCCCTCTCTGCTCTCTCTCCCGTTCCCACCTCTCTCCCCTCTCTGCTCTCTCTCCCCTCCCCACCTCTCTCCCCTCTCTGCTCTCTCTCCGCTCGCTCCGCTCTCTCTCTCCTCTCTCCCCTCCCTGCCCTCTCTGCCCCCTCCACCCGCGCTGGCCCCTCGGTTCACACCAGCCCGGCGCGGAGAAACGTGTATTCGCAGGAGTTGGAGGCAGCAGGCATTGCCATGTACCAGTGTGCGCCCAACAGGTGATAGTTCAGGTGTCTCAGTGGGACGGCCAGAGCCCTCCCCCTGTGTTCGCCCCTACCATATCCAACATCGCATCTCATGTCTCTCACCTCTCGTCTCTCTTCTCCCCGCCTTCGCACTAATCTTTCCCCGTGTCGTGTCCCTAGAATTTTCGACTGCCTTCCCCTCCATGCGCTTGTGCTTGCCTAAGCCCTTCCCTTCCCTTTTCACCTCCAAGCGCCTTGCCCCCTCCTCTCCCTCCCCCGCCTCTTGCGCCCTACTCCCCCGCCACTTACGCCCCTTCCCCCCGTTTCCCCAATTCCCCCTTCCCCCCTCCCATCTCCCCCCTCCCATCTCCCCCCTCCCATCTCCGCCCTCCCATCTCCCCCCTCCCATCTCCCCCCTCCGCCGGCAGGGCAGAGGAGTTCCACGAGGTGCTGGACGCCGTGCAGCCCACCATTGCGGTCTTTGACAGGTCAGCAATTTCTGACAGGTCAGCAATTTCTGACAGGTCAGCAATTTCTGACAGGTCAGCAGTCTGACAGGTCAGCAGTTTCTGACAGGTGAGCAGTTTGACAGGTCAGCAGTTCCTGACAGGTCAGCAGTTTCGGACAAGTCAGCAGTTTCTGACAAGTCAGCAGTTTTTGACAAGTCAGCAGTTTTTGACAGGTCAGCAGTTGTCGCCACGTCAGCAGCCGTGTTCGACAGGCCAGCAGGGCAGGGGGGTGATGGAGGGGAAAATTTTGGGGCCAAGGATGGATTAGCTCTGATAAGGGAGTGGCAGCACTCGCACTGGCCGTGGCACCTGTGGCACCTGTGGCTCCACCCTCTCGCGCTCTCCCTCACTCCTGCTATTGTTTTCCGTGTCCCCTCCATTCTCCCCTTGCCCCCCTGTAATCGCCTCTTTCCTGCTCCACCTTTGCTCGCTTCCCACCTGCTTCCACTCCCTCTCCATCCTTCACCCCCTCTCTAATCTCCTTTTCTTCTACCCCACTCAGCCACCCCCTATCCCTCCTCCCACCCCCCACTTCCCCTCCCCCATTCCCTCCCCCTCCCCTTCGCCCTCCCCTTCGCCCTCCTCTTCGCCCCCTCCCTCGCCCTCCCCCCCTCCCTCCTCCCCCTCCCCTTCCCCCTCCCCCTCGCTCTCCCCCGCCATGCGCCCAGGTTCACGAGCGAGGAGGCGTTCTCGTTCCGCGTGAGGCAGCGCTGCCCCGCCTGCCTGCTCGTGCTCGACACACAGGACCTGCACTTCCTCCGAGTGGGTAACGTGGGGTGACAAGAGGTGACATGCGGTGACATGCGGTGGCATGGGGTGGCATGGGGTGGCATGGGGTGGCATGAGGTGGCATGGGGTGACATGGGGTGGCATGGGGTGACATGGGGTGGCATGGGTTGGCATGGGGTGACGCATCTCCCTCTGGCTCTTTTCCATCGCATCTCATCTCATCCCGTCCCCTCATTGCATGCCCTCCCCTCTCCTCCCCTCTCCTCCCCTCCCCTCCCCTCCCCTCCCCTCCCCTCCCCTCCCCTCCCCTCCCCTCCCCTCCCCTCCCCTCCCCTCCCTCCCTACCCTCCCTTCCCATCCCCTTCCCTCCCCTCCCCTCCCCTCCCCTCCCTCCCTACCCTCCCTTCCCATCCCCTTCCCTCCCCTCCCCTCCCCTCTCCTCTCCTCCCCGGGCAGGCAGGCGGGGCGGCAGCAGGTGGTATCTGAGGGGGGCTCCATCAGGGACGCGCTACACCACGTACCCGATACAAGCAGCAGGGAGCTGCTGCGCGAGCTTGCATCCATGCACCGCTGCGACCTCACTCTGGTCCGTGCCCGTCCCATGCCAGCCAGCTGCCCCCACCCGCTGCCCCCACCCTTTGCCCCCACCCTCTCCCCACCCTCTGCCCCCACCCTCTCCCCACCCTCTATCCCCATCCTCCGTTGTCGCACTTCCGGTTTTCTTTGTTATTTTTTCTGGCCATCTGCATGTTTCTGCGCATCTGTTTTTTTCCGGCTGTGCGGACAGCTCGTATTGCAAAAGTTGGTGCTTCGTGGATCCAATCCCTGTCCTTCCTGTTCGCTGTGCCTCCCCGCACACTCACCCATGCTCCCTGCTCCAGCACCTTCTCAACCCGCTTTTGCTCTCTCACCCCACTTTCCCCCCTCCCTTCCTTCGCCCCCTCACTCTTCCTCCCTCTATACCTCCCTCCCTCCCTCCTTCCCTTGTCTCCCTCCCTCTCTCCCTCCCTCCCTCCCTTGCCCCTTCGCCCCCTTTCACCCCTTCAGCTGTGTTCACAGGCGGAGCTCGCTCTCCTCACGCGCTGCTACGCCTTCCCCCCCCACAAGCTCGCCCTCACCTCCTTCTTCTATGATTCACCCGAGGCACTGCCAGGTGGGGCAGTGGGAGGTGGGGCAGTGAGGGGGGGCAGTGAGGGGTGGGGCAGTGGGAGGTGGGGCAGTGGGAGGTGGGGCAGTGGGAGGTGGGGCAGTGGGAGGTGGGGCAGTGAGGGGTGGGGCAGTGAGGGGTGGGGCAGTGGGAGGTGGGGCAGTGGGAGGTGGGGCAGTGTGAGGTGGGGCAGTGAGGGGTGGGGCAGTGGGAGGTGGGGCAGTGGGAGGTGGGGCAGTGAGGGGTGGGCAGTGAGGGGTGGGGCAGTGGGAGGTGGGGCAGTGGGAGGTGGGGCAGTGTGAGGTGGGGCAGTGAGGGGTGGGGCAGTGGGAGGTGGGGCAGTGGGAGGTGGGGCAGTGTGAGGTGGGGCAGTGTGAGGTGGGGCAGTGTGAGGTGGGGCAGTGGGAGGTTGGACAGTGTGAGGTGGGACAGTGTGAGGTGGGGCAGTGTGAGGTTGGACAGTGTGAGGTGGGGCAGTGTGAGGTTGGACAGTGTGAGGTGGGGCAGTGTGAGGTTGGACAGTGTGAGGTGGGGCAGTGGGAGGTGGGGTTGACACAGTGAGGGGTGAGGCAGTGCCTGTCGAGGAATCAACAAGGAGGGTGACACGTATCAGATGCGCCTGCCATGCCCGCGCTTGCCATGCCCGCACCTGCAATGCTTGTGCCTGCCATTCCCGTGCCTGCAACGCCCGCGACTGCAATGCCCGCGCCTCCTGCAATGCCCGCCCCTGCAATGCACGCGCCTGCAATGGCTAATGGCTGCGCCTGCAAAGGCTGCGCCTGCAAAGGCTGCGCCTGCAACGCCCGCGCCTGCAACGCCCGCGCCTCCTGCAATGCCCGCGCCTGCAATGGCTAGTTGCTGCGCCTGCAAATGGCTGCGCCTGCAAAGGCTTCACAGGGCGCATGCACGGCGCTGTTCTGCTGTTGCTCGTGAGAATGCTCAGAAGCGACCCTTGTTTGCTCGTGAGAATGCTCAGAAGCGACCCTTGGTTGCTCGTGAGAAGCGACCCTTGTTTGCTCGAGCCAGTCAGCTCTCATTCCCGCCTCCCTCCTCTACCCCCCTTGTCGCCACCACATGCAACCATCCTCCCAGCTCTTCCTCTCTGTGTGCCACCCCGTTCCTCCCCCGGCCCACCCCGCCCCACCCCGTTCCCTTCAAGCCCCACCCTGCCCCATCCCAACTTCCGGATCACAGATTCCACCTCCCCCTCCGTCGCCCCCGCACTGCCCCCCTGGGAGCAGCGGCAGCACTGTGTGATGCTGGGCACGTTCCGCCACGCACCCAACGTGGACGCTGTCTGCTGGCTCGCCTCCCACATCTGGCCTCTTATCCGCGCCCAGGTCCGCCCGTCCGGTCAGCCCGTCCGGTCAGCCCGTCCGGTCAGCCCGTCCGGTCAGCCCATCCGGTCAGCCCATGTCTCACTCGTTCACTCTGTCACTGTGACTCGTCAGAGCTTGCACAGCTCCCTGTTTCCTCCTCTGCGCGCTCTCCTCTCCCCGCTCTCCACTTCACCACTTCTCCGGTCGTGCCGCCGTCCTGCCATGCACCCCTCTCCCCGCTCCCCTCTTTTTGACTCACCCTGCCATGTACCCCTCTCTCCCCAAACCCCACCATCCCCCCTCCTCTGCCCCCCTCATGATATGCGCAGCTACCAATGGCAGAGTGCCATGTGTACGGCTCCTACGTCACAGCAGCCATCTCGTCCCTGCACAGTCCGTCATCTGGCTTCATCATTCGCGGCCATGCCCCCTCCCTTGACATGCTCGCCTCCTACCGAGGTCAGCAACACTTCCCCTTTCCGTTCCTCCCCATCCCTCTGTTATCGTTTTGCACGCATCCATATCTCACCTTTCTCAGCTCAGCTCTTCATATTCTCCCCTGTCCTCCCCCTCCCCTTCCCTCCCTCCCCCCTTCCGTTCCCTCTTCTCCCATCTTCTCCCTGTCCCCTCCCCTATCCCCTCCTTCCCGCCCCCCCAGTGCTGCTGGCACCGCTGCGCTACGGGGCGGGCATAAAGGGCAAGGTCCTCGACAGCTGGCGCCACGGCACGCCAGTGGTCACCACCCCCATCGGCGCCGAGGGCATGGGGGGCAGGGGGGGAGGGTGGGGGGAGGCAGAGCCAGGGGAGGGGAAAAGGGAGCACGGGGAAGCGGTGACAGAAGGCGAGGAAGAGGAGGGCGGAGGGCAGCAGTGGGAGGGGGGGCAGCAATGGGGGGGGCTGTGCGAGGCAGGGGATGCAGAGGCGTTTGCAGCGGACGCGGTGCGGCTGTACAGCGATCCTCAGCTGTGGTCCTCTTGTCAATCCACGGTGCGCTGCCTCCCCTCCACTGCCTCCCCCCCACTGCCTCCCCTCCACTGCCTCCCCTCCACTGCCTCCCCTCCACTGCCTCCCCTCCACTGCCTCCCCTCCACTGCCTCCCCTCCACTGCCTCCCCTCCACTGCCTCCCCCCCACTGCCTCCCCTCCACTGCCTCCCCTCCACTGCCTCCCCTCCACTGCCTCCCCTCCACTGCCTCCCCTCCACTGCCTCCCCTCCACTGCCTCCCCTCCACTGCCTCCCCTCCACTGCCTCCCTTGTGCTCCCCTCTTGCTGCGCCTGCCACTCTTCCCTCGCGTTATTACCCCACCAGGCTGCGTAGGCCCCCATCTATCCCGCCCGCTCCCTGCCCACCTCCCACCTGTCCGCCCGTGTGGTTTCTGTACCCACTCTGACCTCCCAAATGTGCTGATGTGATCGATCAAAGCTGTTAGTCTGACCTTCCAAGGCTGTTGATGCGACAGCCCAGGGCTGCTCTTTTTCCATGAGATGGCAACCCCGTCAATGACCGTTCCTCGAGCTGCCACCCCCTCTGTCTGTATCCTTGCCTGCACACACTGGTGCCTGCTCTCAGGGCCGCACCATCCTCCAGCAGCAGTTTGGCATGCTCGCCAATGGGCCTCCGCTCCTCGCCGCACTGTCTGCCGCTAAGGCAAACATGCGTGATAACAGATTGCGTGACTATACTGGGGTAAGTGCAAACCTGAGTGTTTTTCATGTTGAGCAACTACGTGCTACTGTAGCGAACTGTAGCAAACCACTGTCCAAACAAGCTCATGTTTTATTAGATAGGTGTATACGTTGAGTTGAGGTTGGCAGTTCTGTCAATTGTGGCAATCAACCAGACTTGGCCAGATGATTCGCAGGTTGCTATTCTGTTCTGGTCCTGATTGTCCTTGTTCTGAAATTGCATTGCAGGCCATGTTGTGGCATGACAGCAACAGGGCAACTGAGTTCTTTTCGCGATGGATTGAGCTCAAAGAAAAGGGCGTAAGACCCCCACAGTGAATCCATAGGCTGCTGCTTGCCCTGGTTCTTGAAATATCTCCATGACAAAAAGGCCTGGTGACACCCCATAGCACTTGTTTATTACACGATGGCCAGGAGTAATCTTTGTTTATACCTATGCACTGGCCTCGTCAATTATCCTCAGAAAGAATATGTATTAGGACAAAGGATCCATTCTCTGCAATGGCAGCATGAACAGTTTGACCATGTTAACATTCTGGCTACTTTATCCCTGAATTAGCAATGTGTGCATTGTTAGTCAGTGTGAACCATTATCTCCCTTGCTTGTGAGCTTTGTAGGCTATGTTGGCGGTTGAACTGTTCAGAAAATGCCCGCCCTTGTAGAACGACGCAAAACGAGGAAATGCTGTGCTTAGGTGCTAAGATATTCCATGAGAGTGAAAATCTCTGTGGCTGTCGTTCAATCTTGGATGATCTCCGAAAGAACGTTCTGGTCTCGATTCCCATAGTTCAGGAGAATGCCACATCAGGTGGAGTCAGTCAAGGCAGTTGGTGCATCCCAACCACAACACCCTCCACGGTTGTTGGGGCCCCACGTCATTAAGCCGTGGCAGCTTTGTGTTGACAGCGTCGCAGCGCGCATATCTCCCGTATGCACGGGGAGGCACATGGGTTTGTGGTTGGAATGATGCGACGCACATGGTACCGTCTCATCTCCCACGAATCGCGAGTCAGATCTCGGGAGGGGTGGTTCAAGTGGCTTCTTACTGCAGTGCACAGCAGAAGTTGTGTAGATTCAACACTGAAACGCACCGAAACGTTCTGAACCGTTAACGACCTTAATATAATTGATTAAAAAGGCCCCCAGCCAGCTGTCGGTCAGTCACTAGCAGCACGGGACGGGAACAGAGCAGAAACGGAAGAAAGCAGAGCAGAGTCGCACTCACACACAGCAGAACAGAACACGAGTTGACGGCTCGAGGAAACGGAACCCAACAGAACGGGACGAGAGCGTTAGCAGAAGACATTGAATCTCGCGCTTACTTCGCTACTGTGCTTGTTCCTTGCTCAAAAGGGCTGGGGGACATGCTGTTGTGGACCATGGCCCACCCACACTTATTTCCTGCGCGCCGTGCGAAGACACTGTGAACTGCAGGGGAAAGCCGGATGCGTTTGGTGTACGTGAAAGGGTAAGTAGCGGCAGCATTGCACAGTAAAATGGGCGAATAGCGCCGACCCGTGCGTATCGCCCAGCACGTCGGCTCCGCGCAAAATGACAAAGTCGTTTCATCGCGCATGGTCCACTGCCACCCATGCCAGCAGGCACCACCCCGCCCCACCCGCCATCTTCCGGCACGGACCGCCCCTGCCGTATCGCCTAGCATGCGGACGACGGTCGCGCGGGAGGGACCACCAGGCTCGCATCGGCCGCTGGGTCCCATCCTGCGCGCTGTCGGATGCGCCGGTCATCCCCCCCTCCCCCCCCGGGCATGCGTCTCGCCTAGGCGGGTCCTGAAACTCGCCGTTGCTCGTCACAGCCAAGGGATGGACGCAGCGCAGCGCAGGGCAGCGCGAGGAGAGACGGACGTTATAGAGGTCCCACGGCTTGCCACTCCACAGTGGTCACTGCTTGCTCCTTGCAGCTTTCCGCTCGCACCTCATCTACAAGTAGTGCCAGAGACCTCGATACCTTCGTAATTGCAACCTCTCCCTAAGCTAAGCAACTGCTCAAGTCAGGAACTACGCTCGTGCAAATCGGAGCTAGCTTTCATACTTCCGGCCTAGCATCACACGGTCGACCCGCCGAATCTTATTGCTTTCACCACCACGCGCCGCCCTCAGCTCCAACCTCCTTGTCTCACGGCTGCGCGCAGCCCTGTGTCGCGGATCGTACTCGCGAAAAGGCCGACCTTCAAGATGCGAGCGTCGCACGTTCGCGACATACTGCCGAGATCGTACGCGGGTGTCGCCGCAATGGAGGTAGTCGCGGAAAGCCCCTGCCCCAATTCCGCAGCAGCGGACGTCGGTTACCGCGCGCGCGCGCCGCAGCTCCGCCAGCGGGCACCCGCGGAATCATCGGCGGGCTGCGAGTCACGTCCCCCCCAGCCAGGCGCTGGCAGGAGAGCGGCGAATGCGACCCGCTCGCGGCAATACCTGGCGCGATGGACCCCCGAGGTGAGCTCTCCCCCGCCCCTCCGCGCCCCTCCGCGCCCGCTTCTCCCACTTTCTCTCCTCTCCGTGCTGCCAGGGATGCGTGACTCAATTCTTCCCCTTCTTCACCCTCTCATCCCCCCTTCCCCGGCGCGCGCAGGAGGACGCGGTGCTATTGGAGCACGTGAATACGCCAAGATTTTCAGTTATTGAGCCATCCTTCTTTCACCTTTCTCTCCCCCCTCACCTCGTCTTTCTCACCTTACCAGGAGGACGCGTGCTGTGGGACCATGTGATGCCTCTTTCGCCCGTGTCTCAATTCTTATCTATTCTATTCCCCCTCCTCCCCGTTGGTGCGCGCAGGAGGACGCGGTGCTATTGGAGCACGTGATGGCGCACGGCACGGCGGAGTGGGGGCAGCTCAGGGCGAGCGGCCGACTGCCGCTGCGCGACAACAAGGCGTGCTGCAACCGCTTCCTGCTTCTTAAGAGGTATGCTACAGTCGCTTCAAGCGATGGTGATGGTGATGCTGACCTGGCAAGGCAGCAGAACCTGATTCTCCTCTTTCGGTGCGCCAATCCTGCTCGTCAATAGCACTCTCCTCTCGCCCCTCGCCTCTCATCTTCCTGTGTCCGCTCCGCCTCTCCTCTGACCCATGTGCCTCACAGGAAATTCCTCCAACTCGACGACTATCATCACGAGCAGGAGAAGCATTGCCAGCAGCATTACCAGCAATACCGCCAGCAGCAACACCAGAATCACAACGGCCAGCTGCAGCAGCAGCACGACATCTCCCCCTGGCCCTGCCTGGAGCCCCATGCGCACCCCGCCGCCCTCCCCTGCTGCTTCCAACCGGCTGACACCGCACTGCACCTGATGGCCACTGCACCACAGGCGTACCCGCAGGCGGCAGAGGCAAGGCAGCAGGCGATTGCACGTCTGGGCCGGTGGGAAGGAGAGTGGAGGGGCAACCCTGAGGGCGTTGCGTGGTGGGAGGCCGCGGTGGATCCGCGGGTGGGAAGCGCATTCATGCACGCACATGGGTGGGACGCCACCGTGGGATGCGTGGGTGTGATCGAGCCGGTGAGCCGCAAGAGTGCATGTGTGCAAGACAGTGCGGTGGTGCTACAGCGACACACGGACGCACTGAAGCAGCAGCAGCAGCAGCAGATTTGCACAGGTGGAGTGCGGCCGTGTGTGGAGCAGGCTGTGAAGGCAGGCACCTCTGCTGCTCCATCAGCATGTGTGACCGTGCTGCATCTGCGCCCTACCCCCACTGCACCACCTGCTGCTTCTACGCACCTCACTCAGCGCCCGCTTGCTCCGCTGCACCCAGTAGCTGCCCCACTCGTGCTGCCCTTCTCTCCTCCTACAGCCCACTCTGCAGCTGCAGTTGAAGCTGTTGCTGCTACTTCCACTGCTGCTGCTGCCCCATGCTCCCCCCAGCATCAACTCCCCACCCCTCTCTCTGCTTCCTCGTCGCTGCCTTGCCTGCTCCCCGCTCCCCCTCCCCTCCACCCTCTCCCTCTCCCTCTTTCCCCTCCGGACTCTCACATGCACGCTCCCCAGCCCCTTGCTGCATACCGTGGCACCATTGCTGCTCCTGCTGCTGCCGGTGCTGCCATTGGCGCATGTGTGGGGGAAGGGCCGTCAAACAGGCAGCCCCAGGCGGATCTGGACAGGTGGGTTCTGGAGCAGGTGGGGCTCATGCTGGGCGGCCAGGGGGGGGCTGCGCCTGGGGATGCTGCGCTGCTGGCAGATGTGAGAGGGGGGGAAGGGGGCGGAGTGGGTGGAGAATTGGGGGGCATGGGATTTGCAGCAGGGGATGGAGGGTGCATTGTGGGGCATGGAGGAAAGAGGACCAAGGTGAGTGGCGGTGGGGAGTGGGATGAGCAGCAAGGGGAGACGTGCATATGGGAGGGGACTGGGAGTCACTGTGGAGGGTGGATGGGCGGAGAGGGTGGGGGGAGGAAGACGCTTGACCAGGATAGGGATCAAGAGATGCCGAGCCAGGAGGGTGGGCACTGGCATGATGCTGCCAGGGAAAGGTCCCGAACTTATAACCTCGATGACACGAGGATTCTGAACAGCCAACTCCTGAGTGCTCTGCAGAGTGCCCTCAGTGGTGAAGACATAGATAGTTACATAAATAATTATGGTGGTGTTTCTCTCCTTGAGAGAACTTGCTGAAGAATAAAGACTAGCTTGACACCAGTTAAATGCTGGATGGGCTCCTTATTGACAATGCTTACACCAAATGTATAATCTGCGAGTGAAATTGTCATTCTTCAATTACTCCATTTTGGAGCTCGATGTATCGATTTGTATGCTGCTGTGTAGTGCGAGTAGCGAAGCTGGTGGTGACATCAGTTGGAGGTGCATAAGGTAAAACATTGTAATCTCCTGGTGGTAATGGTAAAGCATTTGTTAAGCTTAATTTAAAATTCTTTCTCCAGTTGCTTATGGTACTACACGAGCACACGACAAATGCGTTCTTCCGACCTCACCACCACCACAAGCAGCTTGTGGCTCTCGTTGACGGATGTTTCCTGAGAAATGGGGCATTTTGCTCCTTATTGTCAATGCTTCAACCAAATGTATAATTTGCTAGTGAAATTGTCATTCTTCAATCGCTCCATTTTGGAGCTCGATGGATTTATGCTGCTGTGTATTGCGAGAAGCGAAGCTGGTGGTGACAATAGTTGGAGGTGCATGAGGTAAACCATTGTACTTTCATGGTAATGGTAAAGCATTTGTTAGCTAAAAGTGAATTTCCTTCTCCAGGTGCTTATGGTACTACACGAGCACACTACAAATGCTCCCTTCCGACCTCACCACCACCACAAGCAGCTTGTGGCTCTCGTTGACGGATGTTTCCTGATAAATGGGGCATTTTGCCCTCAAACCTTCTCGAACGTTGGCCTTTTATTTCCGACCAATCCAAACATGGTGCTTCCAAGGCAAACTTCTCCGTGGCTGTGGGAATTCCACGTCACCACATCGTGGCACATCTGCCCAAGAGCGTCACACATCACATGGCCTCGTCGTGGTTCTCCCAATCGGCATTGCCGGACATTGGGGGTGACGGCGGCGAAGAGGGATGCACGACATGCGGAATTTGCACCACCACAACTCACGTGACCCAACTTCCGCCATTCGGGTTTTTCCCTGATTTCGCCCGCAGCAGAGTGAACAGAAGTCAACAGACTCGCCCCGCAGAGAGAAATGCTGCCGCTCAACGCGCAGGCTCGAGTGACGCATCGCGATTCACAAGTCACATGGCGGACTGCCTTGCTCGCTTTCTGCCCTCTCTCACCTTCCTACGTAATTCCTACGTCTCTGCTCTCGTTACCTAGATCTAGATTCAACCCAAGATTCTAGAACCAAGCCGGTCCCAGTTCCTGCATCCTCAGGCCACCTCGCAAGTTGAGCTTTACGGCGAATGATAGAGTTCCGGCGACCGACCACCCGCTCCTCCGCGCGCACCTCGACGTGCTTTAGCTGGCGAGGCGATGTAGCATCAGGTCCGGACACCTCGCGAAAGCAAAGTGTAGTGTATCTCGGGCAGAAATACGACAATCCGTCATGTGTCCAAGGGAGAGAGTAGCGACGTGTACAGACAAACGCGTCATGGGGATGGAGCCGACTTGCGCGTCTCCTTGCGCTGCATCTACGTCGTTTCGGCGCGCTTTCTCTTCTTCTCGCCTTACTCCAAGCTCCGCACCGCACCCCCTCACGTACTCAAATCTCGACGCTCTCCGCCGTCCGTCGTCCAAATCGACGAGTTCAGATTCCCTTGTCGAGAAGGCGCCAGCTTTTCTGCTCGCGCAAAGTGCGTGCGAGGAGACACTACCGCCGCAGTGCCAAGGCGACGAGCCTACCTGCACTCTCGGTGCTAATCGGCCTAGATCCAGCACAGTAGGAAGTAGGAGCACGAGCAGTATCGTAACCCTGTCACACTTTCTGAAGCTTCCTACATGAATTGCCCATCTGCGACGCTCGGTGTGGCGAAGGGTGGCGAAATGCAGCCAATGTCGCACGGGGAGAGACGGAATGTCGCCGCGATGGATGCGATCGCAGCGAGCTGCTACACGACCGACAGCGATGACGCTCGTCCGCCGCGATTCCACGAGTCCGTTGCTGCAAGCCCGCCGATGCGACGGGTCTCTTGCCGGAGAGCGGCGAATGCGGGGCGCTCGCGGCAATACATGGCGCGATGGACGCCTGAGGTGCGCTCTCTCCCCATCCCCACCGGAATACGCCACAGTTTTCAGTTGTTGCTTCACCTTTCTCAACCCCCTCACCCCGTCTCCTTCCCCCTTGTCTCAATTCTTCACCTTTCTATTCCCCCGCTTCCTCCCCTTGTCTCAATTCTTCCCCCTCCTCCTCCCCCCCTTTGCGCATGGCCAGGAGGACGCGGTGCTATTGGAGCACGTGATGGCGCACGGCACGGCGGAGTGGGGGCAGCTCAGGGCGAGCGGCCGACTGCCGCTGCGCGACAACAAGGCGTGCTGCAACCGCTTCCTGCTTCTTAAGAGGTATGCTACAGCCGCTTTCTGCTGCTCAAGAGGTATGCTACAGCCGCTTCCTGCTGCTCAAGAGGTATGCTACAACCGCTTTCTGCTGCTCTCCCCCCCTGTGCGCCTCCCCTCTTCCCCGCCTTGGACCTCACCTTTCCCCCCCCCACGCGCGCCTCACCTTTCCCCTTCCCCTGCCCGCCCCCCCCCCCCCCCCCCCCCCACCCCCCGTGCGCCTCGCAGGAAGTTCTTGCAGCACGAGCAGCTTCACGAGCAGCATCACGAGCAGCAGCAGCAGCAGCCACAGCCGGAATTTCCCTCCTTCCGCCGCCCCCACCACCCTCCGCGCCCCAGCGGTCTCCCCTGCGGCCTGCAACCACGTGACACCGCACTGCACTCCTCACCCTGGCACCTCACGGGGACCGCACCAGCAGGGGTCCGCCTGGAGGCGTCCGTTGCGGCATTCGTGAAAGCGCGTGACACGCTTGATGCGATTCCTGCGACTGACATGGCATGGCCGCCCCAGCCGCGCCTGCTTGAGCAGCCAGTTGCGCGACGCACAGTGACGGCAGTCGGCTGGAAGGGGAGCGAGTGGCAGGGGGTTGGTGCCGCGTGGCATGGCATGATGGACCCCTGGCTCGAGCGCGCTCTGATTGGCCCAAGTGTGTGCTCTGATGCCGTGGGATTCGACAGTGCGAGTGAGAGGAAGCGCGTCAAGACTGCAGCGGCGGAGTGCAGCGCGCAGCTAGGCCAGGAACAATGGCGTGCAATGCCGCAGCAGCCACAGCTGCAACAGCAACCGCTGCCGCCGCCGCCGCCGCCGCAGCAGCAGCAGGCACAGCAACAGCTGCAGAAGCAGCAGCATGACTCCATGCAATTCAGAAGGTGCACTGAGCAGAGTGTGAAGACAAGCACTAGTTCCTCTGCTGCTCTGTCGTCCTGGTGTGACGTGTCTACTACTTCCACTGCCACCGCTACAGTCACCTCCGCCTTGAATCACGCGGCTTCTCCCACTCCATCTCTCGCCCCACCCCCTCCCATCCCTACCACAAGTGACACCACTGCCGCCCAGCCTGCCGCCCACACCGGCCCGGAGTGTGCCACGCAGCACCACGTCCCGAATGCCTTGTCTCCACCCTCTCCGCTATCTATGCTACTGGATACCCTGCCTCCCCTCCCTCCCCTCTCCCCTCTTCCTCCCCTTCCTCCTTTGCCCCTTTCGCCTGGCTTCGAGCTCCCTGCAATCCCTGCTCTTTCCCCTCGCCCCTGCAATAACGCAGCTGCTCCTCCTCCTTCTGTTCCTCCGCCTCCCACCCATCCTGCCGCTCCTGCCACGCATGCTCCTGCTCAACCTCCTCTTGCCAGTGTTGCTGCTGCCACGGGTGTGGGGGCAGGCGCACTGGAGGGCCAGAGGCAGGCGGATCTGGACAGGTGGATTCTGGAGCAGGTGGGGCTCATGGCGGGGGGCCAGGGGGGTTCTGAGCCGGCCATTTGGGCTTGAGGCGCCAGAGCAGGTTATGGGGGACGAGCACAGGGGGTGGGGCAAGGAGGGTAGCTTGGAACATAATTGTGGCCCAGTGTGAGAGACAAGGAGCCGGGGAAGTGCATGGGGAATAAGAGAGCATAATGCGGCATAGGGAGGGGGTATCAATGGGCGGCAGACAAGAGCCTACCGAAATAAAGGGGGGGGGGGGGGGGGGGGGGGGGGTGGGAACAGCTGTTTTGAAAACGGGAGGAGCAAGGAGGGATAAGACATAAGAGGCGGGATGATTCAAGGATGCGAACGGACCCTTCGAGAAGGTTCGAGTCATTTATAGAATGGACAGACATCCCCACCCCAGGTGTACATATTGGGATGCTAGAAGTACAATATAGGGTGTACTACCGCATGCCTAGTTTTTGAGGAGTCAGCATGCTTGCAGATTTGTATGTGGTGCACCCATACATGGCATACATAGAGGATAATGCCTATGATACAAACCTAGAAGATATCCTTGATGGCTTCCCAAATTGTTAATGGTGCCCTCGGCTTTACTGTGACAACTAGAGTGATTGTAAGATGAAACGGTGCACATTTTGGTAGGATGCAGTACACCATATAATGGATACATCCACAGCCTCTCTAAAATGCAGTTTTTATTGTAAAGTTATTGTATAGCAACTTAGGGGCTCAAACAAAGGATAGGCTGTACTAATAATGGGTCACAACCCAGGAGCGTCCATAGTCCCAACATATTTCTCGATCCGTCCAATCCAGCGTGTCTTCCTGGCTGAATCACTGGGCGGGCGGTACAGCATATTCGTTCCCTTCCTCCTCGGGGCGCAAACAATGGTTGGAGGAGCAACACTGTGATAACCAATGGGTGCAGGTTATTGTAATCCAGCGATGACGATTGGTGACTCTGCCCACACGCGTAAGGCCAATCCGCTTCGAGTGCTCATCCTTCGGTGTTTCGCAAATACGGGACCTGCCCAGTTTATAGTGTACACGACACATTCATATTCTACAAAGGATGAATGTGTACTCACATACTCACTGTAGCATTGCAAAAAGGTCGAAAATGTCGTCAGAAGATATTTCTATTAGGTCAGGGGAGCGGGCTTCTAGATGAGTTGTCATGTCGAACTGTTGACAAGTGGATTTTTCCAAGTGGACCCGTCCCCACCCCCTCCAATGATGGCAAGAAGGCGGGACTAAACCCATGTGACCACGTCACACAGATCTCCATCCGCGCTGGCAAAGGACGCCTGTATGGAATGTCCACCGTGCCTTCGCCAACGAATTCTCCTCCCGAAGCGCCAATTCCCATGCCCACCAGCCCGCATGTGTGTCGCGCATTTCTACATTCGCCATAAAATCCTTCCTCACATATTCAGGCGTGGGAACCCCATCAAATTGCTTCCGCTCTCCCCACACCCAAGCAACTCCATCCCGAAGTTGATGGCCCTGAGCGCGCCAGCTGGAGCGGACTTCCTCGCGTGTGCGTATCGAGTTCCCCCAAGCGGTCAGTCATCCGCGACACCTTTCAAAGTTTGAACGAGCAGACCAACAAGGAACGGAGTGAAAGAGCACAGCAGCCGCATCCACCACCACATATACACAGTGCGATCTCCCGAGCAATAATTGGATTCGTCCAAGAAAGTGGTTCTCGCATCACCCATCGTGTGGACAAGCAAGGAATGATCGCAATGAGCGTGTTGATGCCGCCGAGCCCGCCAGAAGCGGCGCCGCGGAAGCGATTGCGACAAATAAATTCTAGCGACGGGTGGGAACTGGTCGTTGAGGGTGACCGTCACGCGAAGAAGCAGGCCAGTGTGTGCGGCTCGGCGCTGAATAGCGGCGAAGTTATTGGCGCCCCCGTCGATGCGGTTTACGGTTGGCTGAACGCTCCGGGAGTGCCGTGCGACGCGGAAGAAGCACCGTGGGAAGCGGAAAAGGCACCGTGGGAGGCGGAAGGAGCGAATTGGGGCGCGAATGCAGCGCCATGGGCGGTGGCGATGAAGGCTCCGAAGGGAATGCGCATGGCGCACAGCAACCGCTGGTGGACCCCCGAGGTACCCTCTGCGCTGCCACGTGAAGTGTCATCCGCTTTTCGCCCAACCTCTCCCACCATTCCTCTTCTCCACCTTGCTTGCCTCTTCCCATCTTCTCTCTCTCTCCGCTTCTCATTCCTCTGATATCCGTCCGACCCTTGTGTGGCTCACTTTCTTCTTTCCCTGAATGCCCCTCCCCCTCACGCTGCTGCATGGATGTATGGCTGGCGTTGTGGCACGTGGCGCATGGCACGTGGTGCTGGGCACGTGGAGCAGGAGGACGAGGTGCTGCTGCAGCACGTGTGCGTGCACGGCACACGCAACTGGAGCAAGCTGCGCGCCTCTGGGCTGCTGCCGCCACACCGCGACAACAAGGCCTGCTGCAACCGTTTCATCCTCCTTAAAAGGTGACTCGAGCAGCATCAGCGATGGGGCAGTAACACATTTCCTGTGAGTCCGCTGGAACCATGGATCATGCCAGGGCTGCAGATCTTGGCATCTGCATCCTGTGTGGGCAGGAAAATGTCAGTCCCGGTCTGATCTGATGGAACACAGTCTCTTCTTCCCTCCTCCCACTTGATCCTCTCCGCTCGCTCTCCCCTCTCTCGTCTCCTCCCTTCTCTCATCACCCCGTACTCATCTTTCCATTCGTATTCCGCATGTGCTCTTCTCTCATCAGGCGGTTCCTGGAGACACAAGGCGCAGGTGCGAGCACCACCACCACCACCACCACCACCAGCAGCGGTGCGGCCAGCCTGGCAGCCACCGCTGGGGCGTGGTGTTCCTCTGCCTTCGCCACCACTCCCCACTTCCCCCCCGCTCCTCCCCCTCTCCCTCCTCCTCCTGCTGCTCATCCTCCTCCTGCTGCGGCAGCTGTGACTGTGGCAGCACCACGACAGCGCACGGCGCCGTGGGTGGGATGGGAGCTGGCAGCAGCGCTGCTCAACGACGACGATGACAACAATGCTGCCGTTGACGCTGCCGTTCACGCCGCCGTTCATGCTTCTGCCTTCCAACCAATACCAGTCGTGGCGGCAGGCGAGTCCGAGTGGAGTGCAGGCGATGCAGCAACAGCCCTGCCGGATCCGTTCGGTGTCTCGTGGGACCCCACAGCCGCACCCTCGTTGGGTGCACCCCCATCCATTAATCTCCCCACACACCCGCTAGCCCCTGAATCATCCCCGCTCGCTCTCTCCTGCCGCCCCTCCTCGCCACCAAGCTCCTCCCTCACCCGCCAATCCTCTATCCCCGCCGATTCCCTCGGCCTCGTCACCGAGCCTCACAGCCTCGTCACCGAACCTCACAGCCTCGTCACCGACCCTCACAGCCTCGTCACCGAACCTCACAGCCTCGTCACCAACCCTCACAGCCTCGTCACCGACCCTCACATCCTCGTCACCGAACCTCACAGCCTCGTCACCAACGCTCAGGGTTTCATCACCGATCCCTATAGCATGCCCCCACTCCCACCGTTTAACCATGCCCTCGCCTGCGCCCCTGCCTCCCGCTCTCCCTTCACCCCTCTGGCTACTGCGGCCCTCCAAGACATTACCAACTCGTCCTCCTGCTGCGTGCCCCACCTCCCCCCTGCAATGCTCACCACCAACCCCTCCGCCTCTCTGCCCCTCGCTGCCTCCTCACGCCCCTCCTCACGCCCCTCCTCCTCGCCCGCCTCCCTCCCTCGCCCACCGCACGCCACTCGCCCTGCCTCCGCGCCTGGCTTCCAGCGTGCCCTCCTGCGCTCCTACTCGCACTCACACGCGATACCTGCGCTGCCCTTCCCGCCGTCCCTCCTCAAGTCCGTCAGCTCAGGCGCCCTGCCCCTGCCCTTGTGCTCCCCTGCGCCACCCCTGTCCCTGACATCCAATCCCGCGGCCCTGCCCGTGCCAGCGTCATCGCCCCAGCACCAGCGGGTGCGTCCCTCACAGCGGCCCTACATGGCGGCACCTCAACAGGCGAGCATCAATGGATGGCAGGCGGTCACACCCACTGCCCCCCCCTCCACCACCCACGTGCGCTCCCCTGCTGCGCCCGCCACTCCTCTCTCCCGCCCGCACGGCAGCGCAGCAGCAGCGGGAGGGAGAAGGGGGGCGCGGAGGCGGGTGTGGGCGGGGAGGCAGGGGGGGCCGATGGGTGAGGGGCAGCAGAGGGCGGCGTTCATCGACAGCATGGCGCGCTACCTGGGGCTGCCCTCCCCGCCTGCTCTCGCCCCCGCTTCTGCCCGCTCTGCACCTTTCACCACCACCACCACTGCTGCTGCTGCTGCGGGTGCCGGTGGTGGTGGAGGTGGAGGTGGTGAGAGGTGTGCAGCGGATGCAGCAGGGAGGTGAGGCGAGGAGAAAGAGTGTGCGGCCAGGCGTGCATGCCTCAGCACCCTGCCATTTCTTCACCCTGCCCATCTCGGCATCCTGGCAAGCCTCTCACATGCCATAAGTCCATTGTTTACCTAGTCCCATGCAGTGCCTGCATGTGGTTAGTATCCTATACAGGATGTGTTGCTATATGTATGTATGCTATGTAACATTATCTGAATCTACACTTTACAAGATACAAAGAATCAAATGAAGAGGCCCATGAAGTGCACGAGCAGGCAGGCATGAGGATGATGATTCCCCCCCCCCCCCCCTGGCTAACCGCAGTTGCCCCCACCGCTGCCAGCACCCCCACCACCATTGCATGCCCTCAACGCCACAGCCACCACTCCCAACTCATCAAAATCAATCACAATCGCACTGATTCCACTACATATACCACCACAATGGGCATGGGCACGGGCACGGGCATGGGCATGGGCATGGGCATGGGCATGGGCATGGGCATAGGCATGGGCATGCGGATGGGCATGGCCATAGGCATGGGCATGGGCATGGGCATGGGCATAGGCATGGGCATGCGGATGGGCATGGCCATAGGCATGGGCATGGGCATGGGCATAGGCATGCGGATGGGCATGGGCATGCGGATGGGCATGATCAGCATGAGCATCACATGTCACACTCTCGTGCCCCCCACACGTTCTCCCCCTGGGGCAAGCGCCAGTCGTCCGCCCCCGGCTCACACGACACACGCCACACCACCTCTGCCAGCGCCGCACTCACCTCCGCGTCCCCGCCGCCCTTCCCTTTTCCCCCACCACCACCTGCAGCTGCATCACCCGCCGCAGCACCAGCAGCAGGACCAGCACTAGCAGCAGCATGAGGGGCAGGTGGGGCGGAGGCGAAGGCAGCGCGCGTGAGGTGGGGGAGGAGGGGTTGGAAGGCGACGTGTGTGCGCGGCTCCCTCGCCAGACACTGCAGCGTTGCTGCCGCCCGCCGCACCACTCGCCGTAACGGATGCGGTGCGGTTACCAGCGCGAGCAGACGCGAGAGAAGACTGGGGGCGCCAGAAGGGAGGGAGAAGAAAGAGTGATAGTCACATTTTATTATTCAGAAAAAAAAGGAGGCCACATATATGTCTCAAGGCAGCAAACGTCCGTCTCGTATTTCGAAGCTCTGCCCTCCCCACACCCTCCACACACGGCCGCACTCACTGCAGCACTCACTGCAGCACTACAGGCAGCACAGGGCAGCACTCATGCAGGTGGCGGCACTCACTGTGGCTCGCGGGCCAGGCTGTACTTGGCGGCGGGGGAGGCGTGCGCAGCGAGGGCCACGCAGGAGAGCGCAGTGGCCTGCACGTGGGGGTCCTGAGAGGCCAGCAGCAGCGCCACCTGCCGGTACACCTGCCAGCCAGCCACGTGCCGTGCGCGGGTGCAGTGAGTGTGTGCGTGTGTGTGTGTGTGTGTGTGTGTGAGTGTGTGTGCGCGCGCGTGCACGCGCACGAGGGGGGAAGAGGAGGTTGCGAGGTGGGGGGGGGAAGAGGGTATGTTTGTTGGGAGGGCAGGGAGGAGGAAGCGAGTGTGTGCTGTTTTGGGCGTGTAATAGGAGTCTGGAAGGGCGGGCGGTCATGCAACATGTTGGAAAGGGAACAAGAACCCACAGCCACACCCCATATTCCCACCACACACCCCATCTCCCCACTACACACCCCATACCCCCAAGCACACACCCTGTGCCCCCAGCACACCTGCAGGGGGCCGGCAGCGGGCAGCAGCAGCAGGTCATTATCTCGGCACAACAGCAGGCGCATCCCACACCCACGCCACAATCACACACCCCATAGCCCCCCAGTATTCCCCCCATACTATCAAGCACACCTGCAGGGGGCCGGCAGCGGGCAGCAGCAGCAGGTCATTATCGCGGCACAGCAGCAGCCGCCCCCATGCCTCCGCTGCTGCCGCCTGCCACGCCACCACCGGCCCCTGCAGCAGCGCCGCCAGCGCCGCCAGTACCCTCCCCACACTGCTTGGGGGGAGGGGGAAGAGGGGAGGATGGGAAGATGCGGGGATGAGGAGACCAGTAGAAGAGGAGAAGGGGAGAAGGGCAGAATGGGAGAGGAAGAATTGCTGCTGTACCAAGAGAACAACAAAGCCGCACACCCACCTCATCACTCCGCGACCTCCTTCCCCCCCAGCAGCAGCATCAGCGCCAGCATCCGCACCACTCCCAGAAGCGCCCACAGCCATGCCATGCGGGCCCGTGTCCCCCGCGGGGTGAGTTGCGGCGGAGCGAGTCAGAGAGGCGGGCAGGGCGGGTGCTGCTGATGAGAGTGTGGGTGGCAGTGCGGAGGCGAGGGGGTTGGCGGGGGAGGGGAGGGGCGGTTGGTGGGCGGGGTAGGAGGAGAGGTCGATGGCCGCTGCGATGTTGGCGAATGTGTCGACTGCGTTGCTCACCACCTCCTCCTCCTCTGCCCCGTGCGGAAGAGGGGGGAAGGGGTGCAGGGGAGCGCAGGGGGGCCCAGAGGGCGCAGGGGAGCACAGGGGGCGCAGGGGGCGCAGGGGGGCGCAGGGGGGAGCAGAGGAGAGTACGGGAGAGTAGGGGGAATCAGGGGGGAGCAGGGGACAGGTGGGGAAGAGGCTGTGACGGCAGGGCGTCCCCTTCCTCCTGTGCTGCTTGCACACAACTCTCCAGTACTCGCTGCTTCAATGCCAGCATGCGCGATGAATTCCAAGCGCTCACATCTGCCACCCGGATGCTGAACCCTCTCCTCAACCCTCTCCCCAGCATGGCAGCTCACCTCGCTGAAAGTCCTCCATAGCGCCCACCAGCATGGCCACACACGCGGGCAGCGCGGCCATGGCGGAGGCGCAGTGGGGCAGGAAGGAGAGGTTGCGCAGCACACTCGATGCCGCCACCGCACACTGCAGCCTCTCCCCCGCACTGCTGCTGCTTCTGCCCCCGCCCCTGCCACCCCCCGTGCTGCTGGCGCTGCTGCTGTGGTTGAAGAGTGCCCGCTCCGCCCACCACACCTCCCGCTCCTCCGCACTCAGCGCCCCCTCCCAGCCCCCTCCCTCCCCCACCTCGTCCCCTTCCGCCTTTCCCCCCGCTCCCCCTGCCGCGCCCCCTGCCGCCAGGCCTCCCCCATCGTTCCCCCTCCCTCCGCCCGCCTCTCCCCCCCCGTCCCCCCCGCGCGACTCCACCCCGCCTCCCCTGTGCCCGCGCCCATACGCGCTCATGCCGCCAGCGCCAGCGGCGGCGGTGGCGGCAGCAGCGGAGGAAAGGGGGTCGTCCGCGGATGGGGGGTGCAGCACGGAGATGGGGCGCGGCAGGGGCGGGTCCGCAGAGTGCGGGAAGTAGGTGCTGTGGGGAGGGTTCGTGGCAGGGGGAATTCGCAGGGGGGAACGGGGTGGGGGGATGGGAGTGAGCAGGGGAGGGGAGGGGAGGCAGCGGGGCAGGGGAGGGGTTGCGTGAAGGGGCAGCACGAGAGGAAGGGCAGTGAGACAGACGAAAGAAGTTGTTGCGAAGTGGGGGGGGGGGATGGTGGTGTTGGGGGCAGAGAGGTTTAGCTAACCAATCTTCAATCCACGACCCCACGACCCACGATACATGGTCCACAATCCACGGCCCACAATCATGATCCATGCTGTACCGAATGCGCTCCCCCAGGGGGTCATGCAGCAGTCGTGAGAGCCGCCCCGATCCGCCGCTCCTGCTGCCGCCCCCGCCCCTCCCAGGGGGGTCACTGCCGGCTGGGCCGCCGCCCTCGGGCCCTCCTCTCATGGCTCGCCACGTGGCAGCGTCAGTTCTTTCGAGAGAACAGGCGCGCCAAGACGCGACCTGATGGGACGGAGACGAACGGCAGTGGGGAGGGTGGCCGGAGAGGAGGGTTGGGGGGATGGTGGGGTTAGGGAGAGTTGGGGGGGGAAGAGGGGTGGCGATTGTGGGGCGGGGAGTTGGGTAGCGGAGAGCTAGCAAATGGGAGTGAACGAGAGGGGAGTAGGCAAGGAGGGATGTAGCAAACACGATCGGCTAGATGCGGTGTAAAGAGGTGATGGGGCGTGCAAGACGAGTACCACTGATACTAAGGCTGAGAGCAGTTGTGGCGCCTTGCTGAGCGGACCAGCCCCCTGCTGCCACGTGTCCTTGAGCGAGAAGCTGATCAGCTGCAGCGCGTTGAGCGCCCACACCACCTCGCTCGTGACGCCCGCCTCCACCGCCATCGCCAGCTGGCGCGCTCTGAAGTCTGGTGCCACGTCAGCATCAGACGGGAAGAAGGAAACGAGATCATTTGTGGTAAGAAGAAAGCGGCATGATGGCGGAACATATGGTTGGCTCGCCTGTGTGGCGCAACGGCGATCCGATGACGAAGCTTTATGTTCATGCCGCGGGCACGCGGGAATGCGCGCATGCGTGATAATTGGAAGGCAAATGAAAGGCTGACTCGCCGATCCGATCGTGAGCGTGACGGAATGGTCGACAAACAAGAAGGGGCTGCGGCTCGGATCGACACCTCGACTAAGATCCCACTCGAAACTACTCCTACCACTACTAGGAAGGGGGACTTGGGAAGAGGCGCGACCTGTGAGGCCGGCGCGGACTTGGAACAACGGGCCGGCGCTGCTGGGAATTGGCGGGAGTATCAACGACACCGGCTTCTCCTCCCGCTCCTTCCGCTTCGCCTTCCTCGCGCCGTCTTTCCCGCCTCCCGCGACGCGCAACGAGGCGCGACGAGCCGGTCGCTCGCCGTCGTCGGGCTCCTCGCCGGATCGTCCGCGCGTGGCGCGAGCGTCGCTGAGGGTCTTCCTCCGCTTGTACCTCCCCCCCGCGCGCGCCGCATCCGGCGTGCTGCTACGCTTCTCGTTGTGGCTGGGAGTCCGCTGCGCCGGCTGCGCGCCGGTGGAGCTTCGGCGCTGCGACCGCTGGAGCGAGCGAAGCGTCATCTTGGAGCTAGGCCCTTGAATTCCGCTTCTTTGCCCTGGAGGCTTGGCGCGACGAACTAGTTTCTAAGGTGACGGTAGGCCCCACGTTGAATGGCTGTCAACAGGCTATCTTATCAGCGACGAACTAATTTATATGGGTTCAAAAATATCTGCAAGAAATCATCCGATGACGAAAGCTTGTGCTCGTAGCGAAGGCGAGAGTGACTTGAGGTGGAATTCCCGAAGTCAGCGCAGTTGGATCAAACTGTATAACGATTGTTGTACAGAAGGTTCTTTCTGCTGCTAGAAATTGGAGTCCAATATGCAAAATAGTGCTGAAATTTTAATAAGAAATTCAGAATACGGTACATACATGCATCCAGTGTGGAGGTGAAGGTGAACCATCAGTGAAATTGTTGGTCGATGTTGCTAGTATTCGTTAGTTCGGAGACATGGGGTTGGTTTTAGCTTGATCATGGTGCTTCAGTCACTTTCCCCTCCCCTCCCCTTTCTCACCTTATCCTTAACCCATTCCTTCCCCCACCAACCCTTCTTCCCTCCCCCACCTCTTCACACCCTTTCCTTTCCCCCCATAATTGAAAACAAGCCTCAAATTCCAGGGGGTCCGACATTGTCTGCCTTGCGGGGCTGCCATGCCAGTCTAGTCTAGTGGTGTCAAATCCACTCACTCCATTTCATGTTCTCACCACAAACCAGGTGGTTTGATACGTGCTTAGCTTACACCCTGCTTTGCCCAACCAAATAGAACATTTGAGTAAAATGCAAGAATAACAGTAGCTGGAGACGCTACCATGTCTCACTTATTGTATACACAGCCTCATTCTTGTGCAGAACTAGCTGAGCCAGCAAACGTCAACCAACGCTTCCGCGGCCTTGCATGGCGGGGCGCAGGCCGGGGTAGTAAATGACGAGATAGTAGCCGGATGGCTGCTCCATGTACGGCCGCACGTACGCGTCGTACTGCGCCTCGGTGATGCCGTCGTACGACGCCGTGTGCTGCAGCGAGTGCCGGCCCTTCATGAACGGCTTCAGCGGGTTGTACGGCGACTTGCTGCGCTGCCACCCCACCGTCTGGTACCCGCTGAACGCCAGCGAGCCGGCCGTGCCGGGCTTGCCGCGGAAGAGGCGGTAGTAGGGCGCAGCGCCCTTGGTGAACGCCTCGTTGAGGTCGATCGACATCGTCTGCGTGTATGTGCCGTCCTCGCTGCGCGACGCGCAATTCAGAGGGGGGGATGAGAGGGTGAACGGTAAGCAGCGTTTCGCGCACCGGGTTGAGGCTTGCCGCGTGGCACCTCGGCACTCTATTAAATTATTAGGGGGTGAAACGTGGGCGCGAACTGATGTGAAGTGGATGAGTAACGGGAAAGAAGACGAGCACACGGAGAGAGGACTAGCAGTGACAAGAAGAGGACGAGTATAGACGAGAGGGGCACGGTAAGGTAGGGGAGACAACTGACTTTTTGTAGACGCGCAGGCTGGCCTTGCCGCTGGAGATCATCTCCTTCTTGTTCCTCGAGTCCAGCTTGAATATCACCGAGCCTGCACGCACACATACCGCACCGTCAGTTAGTTTGGCGGGCGCTTGCACGAGCACGGGGAGACGACGACGGAGAGCGGGCGCGGCGACGCGCAAAGGAAGTGAGGTGGTTCACTTACTGACTAGGTCAGCTGCAAGCGCTGGAGGCGTCAAGAGCGCGCCTGCGTGGAGTCACGGGGAATGGGATGGTGAGGAGCGCAAGGGATGCGGGTAAGCACGGGTGCGTAAACGCTGCATGGATAGCGCCTCTAGGTTTTCGCGAGTGCAGTCGCGACATGTGAAGCGAGAGTTTTGTGCAATGCGCAACGTGAAAGGTGAGAGCTTGAAGTGATGTTGGGCTCGTCGGGCCTTACATATTAGGGTGAGGAGAACTGCTATATGTGTGGTTCTCATGGTGGGGACCAATTAAGCGGCGTATGTCGGTTCTAGCAGGTGCGCTCTAAGCTAGGTTGGTGACAGAAAGAAGTGATAAACTTCCGGGTGTTCGTCGGCACTGTGGGCTTAGTGCTCCTTAATCTTCAAGGTACATATGTACGGCCGAATTCAGATGAGGCAGTTCACTTCTGGTACTTTGAGAAGCTGCTGATATAGAAGCTGGTACCGACAGCGTCTAGCCACCACGTGAAAGCAGCAGTGGACTTGTGTCGGTGGAACATGAATGAGATGACAGAGCAATGGCCGTCTTGCTGGTTGACTGGCGCGAGGGGAAGTCTAATTTCGCCTCTGATTTGAAGGATGATGGAGCCGACAGAGAGGAGGTGGGGTCGATCGATCGATTGGAATTTCCGTGCGTGCATTGTGATGGGGAATGCGCCAGCCACAATGCGCGCGTCGCCGTCGGAACCAAAATTTCGCGCGACTCACGGCACACCACGTCCGAGCACAGGGAATGACACGGCTGTTCCAAAATCAGAGGCTTCGCCACAATCACATTTCCACGCGTTTGTTCATGGAGAGCCGTTGCACTTGAGAAATTGGATTTTGCAACTCTGCAAATCTATAGATTCGTGAAGCCTATACAATGTTGAGAAACTCAGTGACGAACTTGTCAGAGAGCTTGACCTCTCCCAACCAATTGGGCTGCTCCCCCTGTTTTTCCTCCCTTCCCGCTCGCTTCACTCTCTTTCCTTGCTGTCTCAAGATCTACGATCACTCTGGCAACTTTTCCCAGATTCTGCCTCGGCCGGCTATCCTCATAATCCTGCACTCCAATATCTCGTAGAACTAGTTTCTCCATGAATCTAATAGCTGCGTCTGCCTTACAATAGCTGTCTAACGCGTTCCTGAAGAGCAAAGCGCGACTTGTTGCCGAATGCTTGGCAATCTTCACCAGCATAAGCGACTTCCGACGCTTGCTTCTCGCCCGTAGCGATCAAGCAAGATTCACAGAATGGCATGCTCTTCCAGATTCTGTGCATTCGGCATACTGCTGCTCCTGGGGCTGATAGCAAGAGCGAATGCGTCCGTGCATACCTATAAGGGCAATCGCTTTTTCCACACCGCGGATGCTTTCCTTTTTCGCGGCGGACGGGAAGGACTCTTCTCGTCGACGCCTGAGGCGGTGGCTCACTGGACGACGATCGGCAAGGCCGTCGCCAATGGCAAGGCATACGTCAGGTGTGTGTGCGCTCAGTGCTCCCAGTGCTCCCAGTCCTCTCACGACCTTCCTGTCTCTGCTGATTCCCTCAAATTCACGATGGCGACGAAAGACCAAGCTGGACTCAGTGTTTGACAGCAATATTTAATTTGTTAATTGATTCACTCACAATGGCGACGAATGACAAGCTAGGTTAGTGTTGGACAACAATAACTAATGTGCTGATTAATCTGAGCTTTTTATGCAAGTGATTCATCTGGGATTGGCGGGGGGGGTAGATAAGCACTGGTGGCGCGTAGAGCGAGGTGCGTTAAGGCCAGCCGACGCACTCTGTCGTGGGAACGCTGCCATTCCCTTCCACGTGCACCACGCGTGCGCGTCGCCACTCGCGGCTACCAGGGACTGCACGCTGGAAGGTGTCTCTCGCACCGTCGCGTGCTGTGCACTAAGCAGCACTTTGATTCGCCGGTCAATGCCGGCTTACCCGCAGATTTCGAAGCAGTAGACAGCTCTTTCTGCTCTCCCTGCTCTCCCTCCCCCCGCGCGGATTCCAGCACCTCACCCTTCAGTAGTCGGCGATAGGGACTGTCGCTACCCCTTGAATCTCATGCCAATGCGCATTTCCTCCTCCGCTGCGCTCCCCCGTGCGATCCTCTCCCCCCATCGGGTTCCAGCACCTTACCTTTTATTTTCCCCCCTGCGGTCTCATCTCCCATCAGCACCCTGCTCTCGCTGCTCTCCTTGCCCACCCTGCTCTCTCTGCTCTCCTTGCCCACGCTGCTCGCCCTGTTCGCCCTCCCCCTTGCAGGTTCCAGCACCTCACCTTCCACCGCCCCATCTGGGAGGCGCGCGACGCGCCGGTGGCGGGGCAGACGGGGCTGATCGAGGCGCTGCTGTTCGAGGTGGGCGACCGCGCGCGCATCGGCCACACGTCGCCCACGGGCACGCGCTCCTTCTGCTGCACGCCGGAGCTCGTGCGCAAGACGGGGTGCAACCCCGGCCACCTCATCGTGCGCCCGCGCGACGACGACAGCAAGGTCAGTTGCGCGCGAGCCGTGCGGGGTGTGGAGGGCTTCAGGAGGGTGTTGAGGGCTGGGTGGAGGAAGTGCGGAGGGCATTAAGGGGTGGATTGCAATGGGGTGCTACAATGCTCCGCTTGCGAGTGTCCCTGCAACTAACTTCTCCACTCCCCCGTTACCCCCTCACGGCGCACCCACCTCGCTCTCATTCCCGCTCGCCCTTCTCTTCCCCCTGCCTCCCACACGCCTCGCTCCAGTCGCGCGCTTTGCCCGCATGGTCTCGGGTGTGGTCTGAGCCGCCTCGCCGCCACCCCCCCAGTTGCCGTGCGTGGTGGAGATGCACTTCACGGGCAACGACAGCGCCGCGGACGCGCGCCCAACCCGCCCTCATTCCCGTGGTACCTGTGGTTCGTCATCTGCGATAAGAACCTCTTGCCCCTTCCCCCACCCACCCCTTGCAGTGGCCGCGCGTGGTCGAAATAAACTTCATGGGCAACGACAGTTCAGTAGAGGCGGCGGCATCGGAGATGCACATAACGCGGACGGGCATGTACTACCTGTGGTTCGTCATCTGCGATAAGAACCTGGCCGAGGTGTCGGTGACGGGCGGCACCGTGTGGAAGAACCCCTCGGGGTACCTGCCCGGCATGATGACTCCCTACCTCAACTTCTTCGGCGCCATGTCCATCGTGAGTGGGGCGCCATGTCCATCGTGAGCGTCGTGTGACCATGGTGAGGCAGCACGGCCATTGCCACCCCTCCCTTGCATCACGAGTCCAGCTGCTCACGTCACTGCTTGCACTGGGTCCTGCTTCCTCTACTCCTATCCAGCGCCCTCCCTCCTCTCTTCTCCGAGATCCTTCTTGACTCTCCTCCTCAACCCTCTTCCCTATCCTCTTCCACATCGCAACCCTTCCCTCTCCCCCCTCCCCCCAGGCGTACCTGCTGCTGGGCTTGCTGTGGCTGGTGCAGTACTCCCATCGTCTTGTGCCCATCGTGAGCCCGCGTGCCCATTGCCAGTCCTCCCATGCCCATCACGAGTGGAGCTGCTGAGATCACCTCACTGCTTGCACTGGGTCCTGCGCCTCCTGCTCCTACCCCACCTCCCTCCCTCCTCTCTCCTCCGGGATCCTCATTGACTCTCCTCCTCAACCCTCTGCCCTTCCCTCTTCCACACCGCAACCCTCCCCTTCCCCCCTCCCGCATCCCCCCTCTCCCCTCCCCCCCCCCCAGGCGTACCTGCTGCTGGGCTTGCTGTGGCTGGTGCAGTACGCGCGGTTCTGGCGCGACGTGCTGCAGCTGCAGCACTGCATCACGGCCGTGCTGTTCCTGGCCATGGTGGAGATGGCGGCCTGGTACTTCGACTTCGTCAACTTCAACGCCTCCGGCTACCGCCCCATCGGCATCACCGTGTGGGCGGTGAGCGTGGGCGCCGTGCGCAAGGCCGTGTCGCGCGTGCTCATCCTCGTCGTCGCCATGGGCTTTGGTGTCGTGCGCCCCACACTCGGGGGGCTCTCGGGCAAGGTGCGATGGTGAGAGGGGGTGGGTGGGAAGGGGGTAGCGTGCTCATCCTCGTCGTCGCCATGGGGCTTTGGTGTCGTGCGCCCCACTCTCGGGGGGCTCTCAGGCAAGGTGCGCTGGGGGGGAGGGGAGGTGGAAGGGGCCAGGGGGGAGTGTGTGGAAGCCATTGAAAAGGGAGTTTGGAAATTGTTATATCTCTCAACGGTGGAATCACATAGCTCTCTCACCCTCCCTCCGCTGCTCCTGCTCCCTCACTTTCCCTCTACTCCTCCTCACTCGCCCACTATCACTCCCCATTCTCGCAACTCCCCACTCCTCACTCTCCCCATACCCCTTTCCCACTCGCCATCTATTGCTCCTCACTCCCCCTCAACCTCCCTCTTACTTGTCCACTTGCTCATTCCTTCGCCGCACATCCACAGGTGGTGGCACTGAACGTCTCTCACTCTCCCTCCTGCCCTCCCTCTCTCCCTCTCCACTGCTCGCTCTCACTCTCTCTCTCCCTCCTGCCCTCCCTCTCTCCCTCTCCACTGCTCGCTCTCACTCTCTCTCTCCCCCTCGCACATGCAGGTGGTGGCGCTGGGGGCGGCGTACCTGGTGGCAGCGGAGGGGCTGGACGTGTTGCAGAACGTCTCTCACTCCCTCTCGTGCTGCTCTCCCTCCCTTCTCTCCCTCTCCGCTGCTGCTCAGGTGGTGGCGCTGGGGGCGGCGTACCTGGTGGCAGCGGAGGGGCTGGACGTGATGCAGAACGTGGGCGCCATCGACGACCTGAGCAGCGGCGAGCGCGTGATCCTCGTGCTGCCCGTGGCCGTGCTGGACGCCGCCTTCATCCTCTGGATCTTCACTGCGCTCTCCAAGACGCTCGCTCAGCTGCAGGTGAGCACATTGCACTGCCAGTCAGCGCGTGCGTGGATGGGAGGGGCTTCACACGGTGCTGCCCGTGGCCGTGCTGGACGCCGCCTTCATCCTCTGGATCTTCACCGCCCTCTCCAAGACGCTCGCCCACCTGCAGGTGTGTGCCCCGTGCCCGTACCCGTGCCCGTGCCGGCAGTGCATGTGTGCGAGCGGGGTGATGGGCTGTGTGCGGTTGGAGGCGCTGTGTGGGTGGGTGGTGCATGCTGGGTGTGTGGCTGTGATGGCATGGGGCGGGGTGGGAGGGGCTTCAAACTGAGCGTGCAGGTTGCAGCATGGGCAGGCGCCCTGTTTCTTGCCAGGTTTGGATGGGGCTGGAACTGCCAATGCTGATCCGCCCTTGTATGCGTCCCCCCGTGCCTCCCCCTGTGCACCCCCCGTTCCCACCTCCCCCTGTGCACCCCCCGTTCCCACCTCCCCCTGTGCACCCCCCGTTCCCACCTCCCCCTGTGCACCCCCCGTTCCCACCTCCCCCTGTGCACCCCCCGTTCCCACCTCCCCCTGTGCGCCCCGGCTTGCATGCATGGGAGCATGGCAGGCGAAGCGCACGACGCACAAGCTGGAGCTGTACCGACGGTTCACCAACATGCTCGCCCTCTCCGTCCTCATCTCCGTCGCCTGGATCGCCTATGAGGTCAGCCGCACGCATGCACGTGTGTGCATGCATGTACCCAACATGCTCCTCATGTACAACATGCTCCTCATGTACAACATGCTCCTCATGTACAACATGCTCCTCATGTACAACATGCTCCACACTGTGCGCACCTCCTCCTTCGCTTCCTAGCCCTGCTCGTTTCAGTATACCCGCAGCCCATCCATGCAAGACCACGGTGGGTCCCTGCCTGCCCACGCTAAGCTTCTTCCCTAAGCTTCCCCTCGCCCCTGCCCTGGCAGATCTTCTTCAAGGTGACGGACCCGTTCAACGAGCGGTGGCAGGCGGATTGGATCACGGGGTGCTTCTGGCACGTGCTCACCTTCGCCCTGCTCTGCGTCATCTGCATCCTCTGGGCGCCCTCCCAGGCCTCCACCAGGTGTGCCCTCCCAGGCCTCCACCAGGTGCGCCCTCCCAGGCCTCCACCAGGTGTGCCCTCCCAGGCCTCCACCAGGTGCGCCCTCCCAGGCCTCCACCAGGTGCGCCCTCCCAGGCCTCCACCAGGTGCGCCCTCCCAGGCCTCCACCAGGTGCGCTCTCCCAGGCCTCCACCAGGTACGCCCTCCCAGGCCTCCACCAGGTGCGCCCTCCCAGGCCTCCACCAGGTCTCACCCATGCCCCTTTAAGTCTACTGTCACTTGGTGATGTCCTTGCGTGCAGTCACATCAATTGCATGTTGGTCAAACAGTCTGTCTTCTGACGCTTCGTTCCATGTGTAGCCTTGTTTGTTGATGTTCCTCGTGTGTTCACTTTTTCTCTGTTTCTTCTCAGGTACGCTTATTCTGAGGATGCTCCCGACGAGGACGATGAATTGGTGGGGCTCACGAAGGCTGTTCCAGCAGCAACAGGAGAGGCAGAGGAGGGAATGGAGGAAGATGAATTGGAGCAAGGAAAGCTGGAGTAAAGGGGAGTGTTTCATTAAAAAAACAAGTGCATTTAAGGCGTTGTGCTCAACTGACTAGAATAATTGCTTGTCAAAATGCAGTAAGGCGTTTAGATTTCCAAGTTGTAGATTAAAATTTACCATTTTCACAACAAATTTGCTATACCAATGTGCTGCATGCTTACAATGAAGTGATTGGTAGCCCTAGTACCGTAAGAGCTGTGTTGTCAAGTTGTTGTCTAAATAAGTGGTCTCCTGTTTTACATTATGTAGCTCTGTCGGGTCCAACATAATCGTGGTTCGCTAAAAAAAAAATTTCCTCGGGTGGTCTACCACCCGTGTTCCTTTCGCTGCAACCCTTACTCCCTCGGGCTTGGCTTCGCCCCCCTATGCGCTCCCCGCCTCGCCTCCCCTGGCTTTCGCCCTTGACGTCACCTCGACCTTACCAAGCCTTCCCTTCCCCTTCTTCTTCCCTCACCTCCCTTCCCTCGCTCTTTTCCCTCCTCACGGAACACCCCTTGTTGTAGGAGAGACCCCATACCTTCACCATGGTAAGCGCGCGATTAGGTTTCTTGGGTGACGTGGCGCCATGACCAGGCTTTATATTTTTCGAACAGAATTTAGGCATTTCGCTACAGCTCGTCCGAGAATTTCTGGGGAAAGGAGTAGACTTAGTTGTGTTATCTGGTAAGATTCAGGGATTCACTTCAGAAGAGTATCGTCGTTCCATAGCCGCTGTGCGCCATTCGCCAGACCACCAACCGCCGCTCTTCTCCGTTCCCCCTCGTGTCGCGTTTCGGGGTGCTCGCGTGTGTCTTGTTGTCTGCGCTTGCTGCTTGTGCGCGTGTGCGCGTGTGCTGTGCGTGCTGTGCGCGGAACGGATGGTTTGCGTCCGTGTGTACATGGTGTGTGGGATCCTGGACGGGTTTGCATGGTATGTGTTGCGCGGGGTGCATGCGGTTGTGCGTGTGGTGTCGTGTGGTGTGCTGCGGTGCGTGTGGGTGCGCGTGCGGGTGAGGGTGGCAGGCGTCGGAGAAGAAGGCAAGCAACCCGATGCGGGAGATCAAGGTGCAGAAGCTCGTGCTCAACATTTGCGTCGGAGAGAGCGGCGATCGCCTCACTCGCGCTGCCAAGGTGCGATTAGTTGCCTCTTGCGCTGCCAATGTTGGATTAGTTGCCTCTCGCGCGGCCAGGCTCGGGTTGCTTGCGTCACGCGCGCTTGCACGCTGCCACGGCGGGGTCAACCAGCATATTACTGCACGCAGCCGGCCTACTGTTGTGTCATTCGGCCTTCGCGAATCGCCTCTTGCAGTCAGCCTCGCGCGCCTTCAGTTGCTCGTCTGGCGTAGCGTGTGCTGCCACAGTCGAACCGTGAAGCAGACCGTACCGCGCAGACTGGACCACTCACAGCGCAAGCTCAGCCCCTTGGTACTGCACGCACTAGCCCGTTGGTACCGATGAGTGCGGGGGAACCCGTTGAGGTGGTTGTAGATGCTCTTCGGCGTCAATAGTTGCTGCCCGGCTGCGTGTCCGTAACGAGGGGAGCAGGGCGATTGACAGGGCGATGGAGCAGGTGAAAAGAAGCAGGTCCAGGAGGGATTCGTATGCCCGGCGAGGCGGTGCAGGCGGGAGAAGCGACAGTGGCGGTAGAAAGTTATGGCACTGAGAGGAAGCGGACGAACCTGAGGGAAAGTGTAGGTGCCTGAGCGAGTGCAAACTAGCCGGAGTTGGAGCATACTAAGCAAAGGGAAATGGCGACGCGTACTGCTGGATACAGGAATATTCGGAGCCAGGCGTTTACATATAGAGCATTGTTCTGCCCGTTCGAGCGATTTCGGGTTTGGGTTGATTTAGGGTTCCGTTAGTCATATAGGGCGCTGATGCCGAATCTACTTAAATACAATGGCAGCGCCTGGATCCCTAACGCTCGTCGGCTCTCCACGTGCGTCTGCCGCATGTCCGCGTGGCCGTGCTTGCGCCCGTCCGTACACCGCGCCGTAGCTCGCTGTTGCGCGTTGAAGTCACAAAACTCGCGATCAACTCATTTACCTGTCGCTCACACGTGCAACCCTTCCGTTCCCCCTTGCCCCTATGCCCCTTCCAACCCCCTCTGCGCTCTCCGCCCTCGCCTGCCTTCCATTCTCCTCTCGACCTCGCTTCTCGACATCCGTGCAATGGCAGGTGCTGGAGCAGCTGAGCGGTCAAGTGCCCGTCTTCTCCAAGGGTCAGTCTTCCTGCCTTGGCCCCACCCCCACCCACCCCTCGCTCCTGTTCCCTCACATGCGCTCTTTCGTCCACTCCCTCATCCCTTGGTTCCGCTCGCCCGTTCTCCCCCCTTCCCCGTTCCGCTCCCTCCCCCGAACGCCGTGTCTATTTCGCTAATCACTGTTTCCCGTGTTTGCGTTGACCCATGTCCCCGTCGCCTTCACCTGCCATTGTTCGTCGCTTCGCCAGCTTTTCGCGACTTTGATTGTCGCGTGCTCGTGTCATTTAATCCGCAAGTCCTCACCTCACTCTCAACCCCGACTTCACGTCTTCCACTCTATCCTCTCCCCCCCTCTCGCCCTTCGCCCCTCGCCCCTCTCTCATTGCCCCTCGCTCTTCGCCCCTGGCCCCTGTTGCAGCGCGCTACACGGTGCGGTCGTTTGGCATTCGGCGTAACGAGAAGATCGCGTGCTACGTGACAGTGCGCGGCGAGAAGGCGCTCCAGCTTATTGAGAGTGGCCTCAAGGTGAGCCGGGCTTTAAGATCTCGAGGTGGGCTCCTGCAAGGTAAACTTTAAGACCCCAGAATGAGCTTCATTCCCGCTCTATGGGTGTCCGTACGTTGTTGCAGCCCTGGTCAATAGCGCGGATGGTCATGGCGCATCATATTGTCATTTAGGGTTTGCTCGTGGCAGCACAGCACGAGTATTTTCCAGACATCTGTGTGCCTGCTGAATCACTCTGTTGCACGTTAACGCTCTGGGGTGCTCCTGTTTTCCCCTAAACCTCTTTTGCTTGGCTGGCATGGTTATTGAGAGCAGGTGAAGGAGTTTGAGTTGCTTCGCCGCAACTTCAGTGCCACTGGCTGCTTTGGGTTTGGAATTCAGGAGCACATTGACCTGGGAATCAAGTGAGTAGTGAGGGGCACATCATGCTGGGAGTTCGAGTCTTGAGAAAAGAGTGAGTACTGAGGAGCACGTTGGCATGGGATATAGAGAGTCTCGGGAATATGAGTGAGCAGTGAGGAGCACTTTGGCCTGGGAACCAAGTACTTTGGAGCACATTCATTTGAATGCCACACTGAGCAGGCCTCTCTGGACATCAATTTCACCAATCCCATTGCCGTAATGCCATGTGCATTGATGCAGGTATGACCCGTCCACTGGCATTTACGGAATGGACTTCTTTGTTGTGCTCGAGCGCCCCGGCTACCGCGTGTCGCGCCGACGGCGCGCCAAGTGCCGCGTGGGCATTCAGCACCGCGTGACCAAGGAGGATGCGATGAAGTGGTTCCAAGTCAAGTACGAGGGAGTCATTCTCAACAAGGCGCATGCCCAAATTGGGATGTAAGCAACTCACTGGAGCACGTAGCATGTGCTGCGGGCAGAGTCTAGGTGGAGAAAGTGAACAAATGTGGTTAGATGGCGCATGCTGCTGTTTTGTTGCCCACAGTTGTGCAATGAGAATACCAATTTTACTGCTGGCAGTGTTGCACATAGGACAAATGTTCAGGAGCCATGACGTTACCTAGTCATTGGAGGCTATGTACACATTGAACGAAGGAATAAGAGCGTGTTCCTATCCTCGTATCAAGATAACCTCGTATCAGGCTCACACTGAAAATCCCCCTAAACCCAAAACGTCTCGCTTGTTTTACCAGGCAAAAACAGCATTCTTGATAAGAGGTTTCCTGATATGAGGCCGTAGGAACACGCTCTAAGGAACTACAGGTATGTGTTGATACCGTACCTAGCTCTGGAGGAGACTCGACTGGAAGCGTCTTTCAGGTGGTCCTTGGATTAGTTTACCGTGATTTACAGCTAGCTACACTGAAACCACATGACGCGACAAGGCCACCAACTGACACAGGGAAGCATGCCGAAGGCGCTCAGACTTGCAAATAATTGCATCGCCGTGACGAATGCCGCCTTCCCCTCCATCGCACTGCTGTCACGTTCCATTCATGACGTCTTTACCCTAATCCGTTTTTGGCTGGATGCTTCAAAGGTATTCTTCTCTTCAATGGTAATTATGCTAAGCTTCTGGATAATACACGGACCATGGACAGAGCATCATGTGTGACAGTGATCATTGTGAAGAGCCAACTTCTATATCAACATACATGGTCACAACATACATCACGCATCACACATAACCGCTCAGAGGTTCGCTAATGCTCGGTGCGTGAACGAACCCACGAAAGGTGCTGATGCAATGTTGCAGTATTGGCGGAACTAACGTTCGATACACCAGGTCTCTCCTACCGCATACGTCGTACCATACAAATCAACAGAACGTGAATGAACGACGCAATGCCACATGCCTCATGGTCGAGACCCTTGCAAGCTGAGACCGCATCGAAGGGCTTCGACGGCAGTAGCTTATGATAAGCGCCGTGCGCCTGAACACGTGTGGGGCTCAGGCTCCTTATTGGTTAAGAGCAGATCTCAGCAGGCGACGTGCCTGACGACGTTCTGCGCCTGCATCATCCTCTCGAACTCGGGGAAGTCGACGAAGCCATCACCGTCCATGTCCACGCTGCTGATCATCCGCTTGCACTCATCCAGCGTCACCCCGCCGCCTTCCACGTTCGCCATGACGCGGAAGAGCTCGTCGGCGGAAATCTGGCCGTTGTGGTCCACGTCGAACACCTGGAACACGTCCTTCAGCACCGACCGCGACACGTCGCCTCCTAGCCGCTCCGCCATGGCGTTCAGCGCTAGAAACTCCTCCAAATTAACGCTACCGTTACCGTCGAAATCCCCTTCACGCATCATTGACGACACTACATCTTCCGACGCCGAGACGCCGATGAGGTTTAGAGCGGTGGCCAGCTCCTCCGCCGTGATGACGCCATCGCCGTCCTTGTCGATTCTCCTAAACGCATCTGTGAGCTCCTTTTTTTGGAGGTCTGTAAGGCCAGCTGAGACCATCGACTCTGAATCGTGACGCAGGCTTTTAGTCATGCCCATGGTTGTCAGTCTAACAAAGGTACTAAAAAGGAAGGCGGCAACACTTCAGGACGGTCGAATTAGTGTAAGCTTACCGCAGCTGAAGGAAATAAGTTGGAAGTCTGAACTGGAATGAAAGGAGAACTAGAGAAGTCGTTAGTATCTGTTTGAATGCAGGCAGGTAATGAAACGGTGGAGCGAGGGGAGGGTTTTATCGATTGTCGCCGTCGCTGGCTGGGCGTTTCTCGACGTCCGCTTGACGCGGAAGCTGCAGGGAAGCCACGAGGCCTCGCCTCCACCCTCCCCACCCCACGGCCAGAGATGACGGCCAAATCGACGAGATCGGTCAGTCAGAGGTTCCGCTCCCCCGGCACCCAAACCGAACCAAACCCTCCGCGTGCGCAAACCGAATCCCCGAATCACGCGGTTCTGCGGGGTGTACCCCTCTCAGACACGTTGATTTGAAGCGGCGTGTTTGAGAGGAGGGGGGGGAATCAGGGATGCGCACCGTGTCAGTTGTGGCGTGGCGACATCGAAGCGACTTTCGCCAGGCCTTCTGTTTGGAGTGCGAATCCGTTTCTTCAATTCCTCCCACCCCACCGCGGAGACGGCGATTGCCTGCGAACGCCTTCACGCAACATGGCAGGCTCGGTGGTCTCACGGTAGCTGATTGGCTACGTTTGGCAACCGAACCAGCACAAACCTTCAAATCACACCCCATTCGTCGAATCGAGACATTTGGCCTCAGGTCACATATATCACTCAGAAGTACATGTGTGGTTGTGAAGACATGGATTTGGTGGTTGGGAAGAACAGCAAACGTGGACTGCGTGGTGCCCCTTGTCACATGAGTCATGTCATGACACGAAACCAATCGCCCAGTGGAGCACTATGCCAGGTTGCGGACCTCGTCAGGTATGGCTGGAATTCTGTTTATACGCATACCAGCTATTCACATACTAAAATAGCTTGCTATTTCGAATGTACATAATGGACTATTCCCATTGATAACAAGCATACAGTATATTTGATTCTTGTTATTCATGTAGCAAATTAACAAGGATTGCATTCTCCTTGCAGACCCTCCCACATCTCATGAATTCCAGTAGAGATGCTTAGCAATGAGGACAAGCTGGGTCTAGGATTCAATCGGTGGGCATCCAGCTCGACCATCAACTACTAGCTTGCAGTCTTTCCATCAGCTGAGAATACAGCACGGAGGCTCCTGAATTTTCATGTAGGTGGGGGGTTAGTCAAGCAGGCCCTTTTGCATTTAGCCACAACCACCCTTGGTACAAAGCAGGTATGGAAAAAACAGTGCTGTGTTAAGGTATTGTGTCAGGGCTGGTACAGTCTGTTTGGGGAGCACAGTACGGTGCAATCTGAGCCATTATCATTCACAGTTGCTTTGGCAACATCTCATTTGACAAAACTACGTAACTGGGACGTCACACGTTAGGGATATCTTGACAGTTCTACAATATACAGAATGAACAAATCAAGAGAATTCTACTGCGCAAGTGTAGGCTGGAATGGCCTAGCAGGCAGACGGATCAGCAACACCTGCCGGATTGCATTGCCCAGCTGCTCATCCACCTCTACACCCGCAGCCCCCCCGCCCTGCACCGCCCCCTCTCGAGCCTCTGATTCCGCCAGCACCGCCGCGATTTGATGCAGCTGCGCCACCATGTCATGTTCATGACCCGAGCCTTGTTGGAGTAACCACAACACCAACTCGCGAATACCCTCGCCGTCAAATCCGCGTTGGGAGCTCAGTTGGAAAAGAGGGTTCGTCGCGAAGCACGAGCTAGCTGATTCGAGCAGTTCCATGGAGATGCGCGAGTCGCAAGAGGCGGACGGCGAATGTCTGGGCGGCAGAGCGAGACCGCAGGAGTTGCTGCGAGAATGAGACGACGGGGCATGGTATTCGGATTCCCACGCAAGCTGACTGAAGGCGTGCGGTGCTTCCAGCAGCGAGTCGAGGTCCTCGGGGTCACAGCAGCTGCCCGTGCTGCTCCGCGGCGACATCACCTCGTCCGCCTCGCACCATTCCCCCTCCCACTCGCACCTCTGCCCCTCCTGCGCCTCGTCCGTTCGCATGAATTCAGCCGCAGGCTCTGCGTCGCTCGCCGGGGAGGGCGCGGGAGGGTGGCAGTGCGCCGCTGACAGGCGGAACGAGGAAGCTGGGAAGAATTGGTCGGAACTTGCCCTTACCGACACCAGTTCCGCGCCCTGTGGCAGTGGCTCGAGCGCGGGTAGCGACGCGCATGCGACACCGTCGAGGGGAGCAAGACGAGACGAGAACGCAGGGCTGCTGTTGCAAGCATTCAGGAGCTTTTCAAAAGAGGCTTCTGATGGCCGCGGTGGTTGCGCGTCGAGCTGCTGCTGCTGCGGAAGAACGTGTTCCTTCCACGCGTGCGGCAGTGTGCGAATGGTCGCCGCTTGGCGAAGCGAGTCCTGCCAGCTCCAAGGATTCATCGTGGCGAGGCGACGGACAGCCGTGGAAAATCGTAGTTGAGACAACAAATGCGTCTTCTTTCAAACGATACCTACAACACATCCAAAGCACTTGGCTGATTTAAGTTATGTACTTCCAGCTGTCTCTAAAGCAAGTGCTCAATGCATCACGTCACGACTCACGAGACGAGAATGCTGCACAGACAGGTGAAAGTGGCTCTGGTCAGGGCGAGTTGCGCAACCGTGAGTGGAAGGAAGGGAAGTGAAGTGAATGGACTGATCATCCTGCGCCCCGTCTGCTTGCGTGCATACGTGTGCTACCGTCGATCATTGTTTGTCGCTTTCCCCTCCCCCACCTCACCTGTTCAGCCTTTCTCAAGCAGGTAGGGCAGGTCTGTCACCCAACCAGAAGGAAACCTGAGCTCCAGGTAGCAGTTGTTAATTTCAGACCACCTTGTTCTGGTTTGGTACCAGCACTTATCAGACACAGCTGATCCCAGCTGAAAAAACCAGCTGTCACTTACGAGGACCTAGGGAAATATAAATTTGTTCTTCCACCAAGTCGAACCGCAGGGCAGGCTTTGTTTAGGCGGCGGGACGTTGCCTGAACCGAGCCCTGACCCAGGCACCTCTGTGCTGGTAACCCGTTTCGACTGAGAACTGTACAGCTATTCGGGTGTGAGAAGGAACCTGACCCGTACATTTCCGTCTCCCCATGTGTGAGGACATGGCGGCAGGAGAGGAGCGAATGAGAATTCTTCAGCTGCGCCATGCGTGCAACCGTTAGTCAGCGGCAACAGAGCAGGGCAGACCGAACAGCAGGGCCCACCTGGAAGGGAGGGGGCGAAAACCAGGTGCTGGTGCCGTTTGTCCTCGCCTGCCACCAATTCTGCGATAAAGGCGGGTAGACTTTGTTCAAAGCGGTGAAGCTAAACAACCGCTCTAGACTGTACAACATCTTACTCAACCGCTTTTGCTGAACGAATGAATGGAGATTGAAATAACACAGTAAATATGAATGTCCTACAAATACTCTACCCTTAGATTAACTGGCTGGGGCAGGGTTCCTAAACCCATTTGCACAGGACAGGAGTGCTAAAAAAACAGTTGCACAGACCCTCTCCGCCCCACAATGCCTGTATCATGGACCTTGGGTTTATATTTTAGGGGGGGGGGGTGGTGATTACTATCTTGAAACGCACCCCCGCGGGCACAACTGTCATGGGGTTCAGGCGTGGACGGCGGCAGCAAAGGAGTTGGAGCCGGCGTTCCAGGAGAGCAGGCGGGTGAGCGAGGCGTCGCCTCCACGCGGGCTGCTGGCAGGCACACCAGGCTGCGCGCGTGCTGAGGCTGCGTGTGGGCCGTGCAGGGGCCGCTGCTGGCTGTGACCGGCGGCTCTCATGTTGCTGGCGTGCTGCGGTGGTGCGTAGTGGGGGGTGGTGCCGACACGGGGCAGCTGCTGTGACACGAGATGGGAGGCAGGCTCACCGCCGTGCCTGAATGACACCCGCTTTGGCTGTGCCTGTTGCAACCACTCACCCTGCTGCGGCTGCTGCTGCGGCCACTGCTGCTGCCGCTGCTGTGCTTGTTGGTGGGGGTTGAAGGAGTGAGACTGAACGAGCGAGGGTTGTGGTGCCTGCCCCTCGCTCCACTGCTGCTGTTGCTGCTGCCAGCGCTGGGAGCTGAAACCCGCCTGCTGATTTGGCTGGTAAAACTGCTGCTGCTGCTGCCGGTACATCTGTCCTTGGGTATCAGGAGGGTAGCAGAGCTGGCCCTGTTGCTGCTGCTGTTGAGCATGGGGGTGCGGCACGGCCCACTGCTGCCACTCATGCTCGCCACCGCCCACCGCCTCTTGCACCCACCCTTGCTGCGCCCGCACACCCTGATGCTGCTGCTGCTGCTGCGGCTGCCTCTGCTGCCACTGCCCCACCTGTGCCTGCTCCCTCTGCAATTGCATCTCCGCCTCCTCCTGCCCCCCATCCGCTCCCCCCCATGCTCCCATCCGCTCGTCCCCCGGCGGGGCGGAAGCGGAGGGGGGGAAGGCAGGTCCCCGGGCGGCGCGCTGGTGTGCGTGCAGCAGCCCCTGCAGCGCCACGCCCTCGCCGGATGGGCGGCAGCGACCGCGCCTGCTGGATGCGCGGGGGGGGCGCAGCGGCAGGGGGGCCACTGGGGGCCGTGTGGCTGGGGGGGACCAGCAGGGCGCGCGCAGGGCCAGGGGAGGGGACGGCTGGCGCCTGCAGTGTGGCGGGGCGGGGCGACGGCTTGCTGCTGGCCCTTGAGGACGGGGTGATCACTGCTGACGTGGGAGTAATAGCAGCTGACGTGGGTGTAATCATAGGTGACGTGGGAGTGATCACAGCTGCGGTGGGCACGACATTTGCTGACGCGGGTGAAGTCCCTGCTACTGCCGCCTTGCCTGCACGTCGCTCCCGTCCCCCTGCCACAGCCCGCTGCCTGCTGCCGTCATTGAACGCCCGGCTGCCCGCCTGCCCGCTGGGGGCCGCGCGGGGAGCAGCGCGCGCAGAGGAGGGGGCAGCAACTGGGGGGGTTGCGGCGGTGGTGGGGGAGGGATTTAGGGTGCAGGCAGGGGCGGTGAGCGGGGCGGGGTAGAGGTCTCCCTTATCGGGGATGTCTATAACGAGCACACGGCGCCTCGCAGCAGCAGCAGCCGCTGCCAGTCGCTCCCTCTCGCCGCCCACCACGCCCGCGCCCTTCCGCAACGCCTCCGCCCCGCCTTCCCCATCCTCCGCCCTGCGCTCCCCTTCCGCCCGCCGCACCACCATGCTGTTTCCACCCGCTTGCCTCCTTTCCGCCGCCCCCGCGCCGCCCCCCCCCATCACCCGCTCCTCCGCGGCCCCTGTGTGCGTCACAGCGCGCCGCATCTGTGGCTGCCTGCCCGCTGTGCTGCCCGTCGCCTGCGCCTGCATCCCCCCCTCCTGCATGCTCGCCGCGCGGTCCAGCTGCCTCCCGCTCGCCGCCACGCCGCCAGCCTGCGTCTGCTCCGACGCTCCCGAGTGCGTCGCGGCGCGCCGCATTTCCTGCGTGGACGCGTTATCCTCAGCGGCGGGCGCGGGCGCGGGGGGGGTGCGCGGGCTGAGATCGAGGTACACGCGGAAGCTGCCGTCTCTCCCCGTGCGCCGCAGCTTGGGGGTCGCCCCCGACACCGCCTGCTTCGCCCCCCGCCTCACGCCCCCCGCCTGCGCCGGCCCTCCCGCCTGCGCGTCGAGCTGCTGCTGTCGCGGCAGCGACGCCAGCCGCAGCAGCTCTCTCCCGCGCTTCGCCAGCCCCGCCGCCTGCTCGTCCGTGCCGCTGCGCGCCGCCTGCTGCTGCCCGCTGCTCTGCCGCTGCAGCCGCTGCTTCTGCTGCTGCAGCTGCCGCCGCAACCGCTCCGCCCTCTCCTCCCTCTCCTCCCTCTCCGCCTCCCGCTGTGCTTCACTGTCCCACTCCGCCTCTCCCCTTCCTTCCCTCTCCGCCGCTTGCTCCCTGCCTCCCCCGCTGCGGGCGGGTTTGGAGGGCAGAGTGCGCGACCGCTGCAGCTCGCCCTGCTCCTCCCCCCCACGCCGCTCACCGCTGCGCTCCTCGCCCCGCTCGCTGCCCCTTACCCTCCCTCCGCCCTTCCCCTCGTCTCCCGTAACTACCCCTGCGTTGTCCCCGCGTCGTTCACTCCCCGCGTCTGTTTCGCCCCCCTCTTGCGAGCGCCGCATGCTCTTGCTGCGCGCCAGCGACCGCTCGCCGTTCGGAGCGCTGTACGCGCGCCTGAACGATCCCGGTTCCTCCTCCTCCCCTTCCGCTCCGCCATTCTGATCCCGCCGCCCCTCGTTCTCATCCCCTCGACCTTGCGCCTCTCCCACCCGCTCCCGCTGACTGGCCTGCCGCACGTACCGCACGCCGCGCTCCTCCTGCGCCGCCTTCCGCCCCACGGCGCTGTTCTGCCGCGACAGACGGCCGCCCTTCCCGCCGTCCCCCTGCGTGCCCTTGCTGCCCGCGGCGTCCTTCCCCGTCTCGATGTACACGCGGAAGCTCGCGCTGCGCGCCATTGCCAACCGCGCCGATGCTTTCGCGCCCGCCTTCGTGCCTCTCGCTGCCGCTTTCCCCTTGCGCTGCCCTGCGCCGCGCGCCCCGCCCGGCTGGGATCGGCGCGACGCCGACCGTTGCAGCGACCGCATCGTCTGCGAGCGCGCCAACTCGCGCCCGCCCTGCCCCTCCCCCTCCCCTTCCTCTTCCTCCTCCCCCTCTTCGTCCTCTTCACTCTCGCCCTGTTCCCCCTCCCCTTTCTCCTCCCCGCGCGCAGTCACCTGCGCGTCACCTCCGTCTCTGTCTTCCACTCGCCCACCCCGTTCCGCCTCTCCGCCCTGCTTCTCTTCCCTGTTCTCGTTCCCCCACTCCTCGTCGCGCCCCCTCAACTCCGCCCCCGACACGCGCCCCGCGCACCCGCGATTCGTCATCGGGCTCGCGCTGCAGGCGAGAGGCGGAGCGGTGGCGGAGGAGAGGCGCGGCACGGCGAACCAGCTGCCCCCGAGGCTGTACACGGGCGACAGCAGCTTCCGCAGCCTGCGCCCCGGACTTGGGCGCTCCGGCTCGGCGGCGGGCGACGAGGGCACCTCGATGGAGCATCCAAGCGGCCGGCGGAAACTGCCCGGTGGTTGCAGAACGGGCGGGGGAGAGACGGCGCAGGGGGAGGGGAGGGCGGAGAGGGGCGACGGCTGCTCCCCCGCTACGGAGTCGAGCGGGTCGGCGGCGAGGCTGTGCGTGCGGAGGTGCCGCCCGTCCAGCCCCGCGCAGCACGCCGCCAGCAGCAGCGTCCGCGCGGCCCTCCCGCTCATCCCGCTCCTCCCCTGCGCATTGCCGCTTTTAAACCCCTCCCACCCGCCGGCCTTGCTGATCCCGTCGCTGCCGTTATCAGGGCACGCGGTGAGCGGCGACCGCGGCGAGACGGCGGGTGGGGCGGCAGCACGATGAGGGAAAGCGAGACGCGCGCTAGGGGGAGGCGGGAGGGGGGCGGGGGGAAGCGAGCACCATTG